TAAGTCCATTGCAAATTCAAGGTCTGATGTGTTTTGAGGTTAGTGTGTATGTATAATAGGAAAGCTTTATTATGTAAATACTATGCTTAATTGTACTACATATGCTGGGTAGAGTAAAATTTATATCAAAAATTATTTTAATAGATTTCATTAGTATCTTTTGTTTTTACATTACCTAGATTTCTCCTTGTGTGCCTACCCTTTTCCTTTCCCAGAGAACAATCCCTTCTAATAAAGATTTTTACATAGTTCAGCAAAATTAATATATTGAAAAAACCTGACCTTCTATGCAATGCTCTAATTAATCAATAAGCATGTATTACGTGTCCACTTTGTGTCAGGCACTGTGTTAAGCACTGAAAATATGAAGAAAAGGAAAAAAATAGTTTCTATCCTCAAGGAGCTTACATTCTACATAGGGGAGAGGGAGGAGAAAACATTATAAAGAAACATACAAAGATATATCTTTGTATGTATATATACATATGTATCCTTGTGTATATAGATATAGATATAGTATGTATCTTTGTGTGGATACAAATATATATCTTTATATGTATATACATATATACAAATATATATGTGTATATATACATATATGCAAATATATATGTATACACATCCGCATCCACACATCCACATCCACACACACAAAGTAGTATCGAGGTAACCTGAAAGGGCATGGCTCTAGTAGCTTGAATACTAAGAGTAAGGATCTTCTGCAGAAGGTGGAACTTTAATAGAGTCTTGAAGAAAACCAGGCATTCTTAGATTCTGAGGTATCTAGGGAGAGTATTCTAGGTATTCGGGGCAGGGGGCCAGATAATGCAAAAGCTCAGTTAGGGGATCCTGGAGCATCGTGTGTGAGGATTGTGGAGTAGGTTGTTAGACCATAGAGTCTAGGAAAAGGAATAGTGTTTAAGAAGGCTGGAAAGATAGTGGTATTGCTGGGTCAAAGAGTTTACACAGTTTTATAACTCTTTGGGCTTCATTCCAGATTGCTCTCCAATCTAAATCAGTTGGATCAGTTCACAGTTCCATCAACAGTGTATTAGTGCCCTGATTTTTCCAATTCCATCCAACATTTGTTATTTTAGCCAATCTGATAGATGTGAGATGATATCTCAAAGTTGTTTTAAATTGCATTTCTCTAATCAATAATGATTTAGAGCATCCTTCATATGTATGTATATATATATGTATGCATATTTGATTTCTTCATTTAAAGACTGCCTATGTCATATCTTTTGACCATTTATCAATTGGAGAACGATTCACTTTTTTTATAAATTTGACAAAGTTCTTTATAATTTGAGATATGAAGCCTTTATCCGAGAAACTGTCTACAAAAGCTTTTCCCCCAATTTTGTTTTTCTTCTAGTATTGGTTACATTGCTTCTATTTGTACAACATCATTTTAATTTAATATAGTCATCTCACAATGCTCGCTATCTCTTGTTTATTCATAAATTCTTCTCTTATACACAAGTCTGATAGGTAACATATTCCATGTTTTAATTCTCTTATAGTATCTCCCTTTACAAGGTCATGAATATATTTTGACCTTATCTTGGTAAAGGGTATGAGATACTGATCTGCACTCAATTTCTGCCAGACTGCTTCCCAGTTTTGCAACAATTTTTCTTTACCAAATAATGAATTCTTATCCTGAAAGCTTAAATCTTTACATTTTTCAAACACAAGGTTATTGATCATTTACTGCTATGCATTGTATGATGTCTATTAGACTCTGTTCCACTGAACCACCTTTCTATTTCTTATTTAGTACCAGATAGTTTTGTTAATTAGTGCCTTATAATATAGTTTAAGATGTGGTACTGCTAAACCCCCTTCCTTTACATTTTTTCCCATTAATTCCTTTGATATTCTTGACCTTTTGTTCTTACAAATGAATTTTGTTATTATTCTTTCTAGCTCAGTAATATAATTTTTTGGGGGTAATTTAATTGGTATGGTATTGAATAACTAGATTAGATAAAATTGTCATTTTTATTATATAAGTTCTGCCCACCTGTGAACAATTAATATTTATCCAGTTATTTACTTTTTGACTTTCTTGATGTGTAAAAAGTGTTTTATAATTATGTTCATGTAGTTCCTAGCTTTGTCTTGGCAGGTGTGCTCCCAGTTATTTTATACAGTCTATAGTTATTTTAACTGGGGTATCTCTTACTATGTCTTCTTGAGGGGTTTTGTTGGTGAGCTATAGAAACTGATGATTTATGTGCATTTATTTTATATCCTGCTAATTTGCTAAAAATTATTTCCAAGTAACTTTTTTAGTTGAATCTCTAGGATTCATATGATCTGCAAAAGAGATAGTTTTATTAATCTCATTGCCTATTCTGATTCCTTCAATTTCTTCTCCTCCTTATTGCTAATGCTAGCATTTCTAATACAATATTGAATACAGGGCATCCTTGCTTCACTCCCGATCTTACTGGGAAGGCTTCTAGCTTATGCCCAGTACAAATAATGCTTGTTGATGGTTTTAGGTAGATGTATATTATCATTTAAAGGAAAAGTCCATTTATGCTTATGCTTTCAAATGTTTTTAAACAGGAATGTATTTTGTCCAAAGCTTTTTCTGCACCTATTAATATAACCATATATTTTTGTTACTTTTGTTATTGATATAATCAATTATATTAATAGTTCTCCTTATGTTAAATAATCCCTGCATTGCTGGTATGAATACCACTTGGTCACAGTGTATAGTCTTTGCAATATACTGTTGTAGTCTCCTAGCTAGTATTTTATTTAGGATTTTTACATCCACATTCCTTAACGAAATTGGTCTATAATTTTCTTTCTCTGTTTTTGCTCTTCCTGGTTTGGGTGTCAGTACCATATTTATTTCATTGAAAAAGTTTGGCAGAACTCCTTTGCCTATTATTCCAAATAATTTATTTAATGTTGGGATTAGTTGATCTTTAAGTGTTTTGTGGAATTCAATTGTAAAGCCATCTGGTTCTCGTGCTTTTTTCTTAGGAAGCTCGTTGATGTCCGGTTCAAATTCTTTTCTAAAATGGGTTTAATTAGATATTCTTACAAAATTTTTCCCTTTTTTTCCCCTCCCCCCTCGCATCCAAGAAGGCTACCATTAGACACAAATAGGTGTGTGTATATACATATACGTATATGTATATATGTAAAATTATCCTATACATCCTTCTATTTATCAGTTCTTTCTCTGGCTGCAGATAGCATCTTTCTTCACATGTCCTTTCCTTTTAACTTGTGTATTTATAATAGTCAAAATGACAGCTGCTCAAAGTTGTTCTTAAAACAATATTGCTGTTACTGTATACAATGTTCTTGTGGTTCTGCTTACTTCTTTCTTGATAGTTTCATGCAAGTCTTTCCATGTCCTTCTAACAATTTTTTTTGGTAATTTAATTGGAATGGTATTGAATAACTAGATTGGGTAAAATTGTCATTTTTATTATATAAGTTCTGCCTACCTGTGAATAATTAATATTTATCCAGTTATTTACATTTGACTTTATTGGTGTGTAAAAAGTGTTTTATAATTTTGTTTGTCTTGGCAGGTGTGCTCCCAGTTATTTTATACAGTCTGTAGTTATTTTAACTGGAGTATCTCTTACTATCTCTTCTTGAGAGGTTTTGTTGGTGATCTATGGAAACAACTGAGCTCATCACTTCTTACAGCATAGCAGTATGTCCAGCCATTCTCTAACTGATGGGAATCCTTGCAATTTCCAGTTCTTTGCCACCACAAAAAGGGCTGCTATAAACATCCCATTCCCATTCAAAGTTATAATTACTATCTGTGAATTTCCCTTCATCTTAGTTTTACTCACTATTTTCTTTCTCAGCCTCTCTTTTCACCTTAGCCCTGTTATCTGAAGACATAGCCTTATTTGCAGCAACAAGGAAAGAGCAAGTAGATATGGCAACACTGAGGATGACCTAGGGAGGAGGAATGGATTGAAGAGACAGACTATTGGAGGAGACCAGGGTGGGGGGAGAAAGTGATGGAATTAAGTCACAAGCAGAAGGGTCACTTCTTCCTCAGGGACTGAAACAAAGCAAGAGAATGAGAGATGTTATTGAGAGAATTTGAAGTGGAGAATAGGGGGAAGAGGAAGCTCACAACGGATGACCTCAATTTTCTCAGTAAAGCCAAACTTTTCAGATAAGTGGGATGGGGAAGAGATTGATTGATTGATTAATTAATTAATTAATGATGATGTTGTCAAATGACAGAGAACAGCCTTATTTGGGTATATGTATAGATGGACTACTGTTGACTTTCACAGAGGAGTAGCCCCTGCAAGGACTGAGAGGGAGGTGCCATCATTAGGGGGAGAAGGGAGCAAGATCGGGAGACTAGGGACCCAAAAGTTTCACTTTCCAATTTTACCCAGGTAAATTTTACCTTGGTACTCCCTAGAAAATAAACATTTTGCCTGGAGGGTTTCTTCTACATTATTGATGGGGAAATGAAGACCCATAGAAAATAATGAATGTCCTCTGTAGTTACCTGGTACAGTTATGCAGCATATTTGGGACAAAATCAAGACTGATAACACTTGTGTGGTCAATTATGGAGAATGATGAGAAAACATTAAGGGCTATGGCCTGGGAGAGGAAACCTAGACCTGGGAATTCAGAAACCTGCATTATGGCTTAATTTTCTCCTGGACTCACTGAGGGGCTCAGTTTTTCTATGTCTCATGCCTGAGGTCACCTACAGTGTGGGACCCAGGGACAGGCTGTGTTACCAGCATGATGGATTTGTAGAACTGCTGACGTTGTTAAATAGTGGTCTACTTTCCCATCACCCCTTTCACCTTGTTGCCCTGCCTGGAAGCAGGTGACATCAGGTTCCGTACACAGGGTTAGCCCATTACTGGGATTTATTACTCCTGTCCTACCGTCTATAAATCATAGAAGAGAAGGATCCTAGCTAGAATTCAGGGGTATAAAAAAGCAAATGGGACTTGCAAAAGAACAGGCAGCCTCAATCCCAGGTCAGACAGACAGACAGACAGACAGAACGGAATGAATTGCTGGGAGCTCCTGCTGGCGGCCTGGAGCACTTGCTTCTTCAGTGTGCCCAGTGATGGCTTACAACGGTGAGGCCAAGAGGGTAGAAGGGGTCAGAAGGGGGGCTGACTAATACTTAGTGGGGGAGATGATGCGACCAAAGAACCTTGGGGAGAAGAGGGCTTTCCAGATGCCAATCAGGAGGAAGCTCCATCTGTTGGTCAGTAAGCAGAGGCAGGGGGCTCTTTCTGTCTAGGATAGACAGTAGGGCAATGAGCCAGCCTAAGGAGCAGCAAGTTCCTAAGGCTACAGATGATAAATAGAGAATAGTTGGTTTATCTGCACATGTTGATCATGTCAACTCTCCTCTCCCCTCAAAAACCTGTGATGGTCTTCTCTTATAGATGGGGAAAATGAGGCCCATAGAGAATAACTGATTCCCCCTATAGTTACCTAGTACAGTTATGCAGCATATCTGCATAGCTGACAAAACCAGGACTGATGATACTTGTGGCCAATTTCCATCAGGAAAAAAGGGATTTTGGGGGAAGGGAGCACCACTGACTTTGAGTCAGAGCTTAAAACCACAATGATCAGAATTGTAGCATTAGTCAATCAACTAACAAGTATCTTCAGATCCAATTCAACTCCAGAGTCAATCAATAATCATTTATTAAGCACCTACTGTGTGCCAGTCACTGTGCTAAGCTCTAGGGTTACAAAGAGAGGCCTGATGTCAATGTAGAATATAGCTCACATTCTCATGCGGGAGACAGTATGAAAACAGCTAGGGTTATGTGTGTGTGTGTAATAGAGAGAGAGTATATATACAAAATAGATGAAAGATAATTTCAGTGGAAAGACACTAACAGTAGGGGAGACTGTGAAAGGTCTTTTGGAGAAAGCAGGATTTGAGCTGAATCTTGAAGTCGTGTAAGGGAGTCCAGATGAATTATAACAGTTCACACAGAGATAGCTGAAAAGTTTTTTTTTTATTGCTATTCACAATGGGAAAAAGAGAAAAACTTTTAGCATGGACAGTCTTCTTTTTTTGTTGTTTGTTTGTTTTTTGCTAGTCAATGGGGTTAAGTGACTTGCCCAGGGTCACACAGCATGGACAGTCTTCTTGTGGGGCCTCTCTGCCTGCAGGGGTCAGTACAGGAGAGGAGTACTCACCCTAAAAGCTCAGACTTCTATATTGTTTGAGACAAAGAGCCAGTAGGATTCCAATGGGAAACTGCCCTGTTAGTGAGGGTATAGTCTATATTACCTAATAAGGAGTGAGGAATGGGAATTAGAGGAATAGGAATGAGGAGCAGGGAAGTAGAGGATTTGACCCTTCTGGTACCATTCTAGCAAGAGGCTGAAAAGGGTTAATGTCCAATCTCTGGGTTTGTTAGCATTCTGGGGACTGGGACTGTACCAGGGAAACTTGTTTTTTACCAGTACACAGAAGCAAGGAAAGCAGGGATGGAGGTGAAGAGGAAAAATGCTCCAGGTATGTGGGAACAGCGAATGCAAAGGTGTAGTGTCTGGAGAGGGAGTGTCTTGTGTGAGGAACTTCGAGAAGCCAAATGTCACTTTACTGTAGAGCACGTTGAGGGGAGTTAAGGTGTAAGAAGACTGGAAGGGTGGGAAGGGCCCAGGATCAGGGGTGGGAAACCTGCAGCCTTGAGGCCACATGAGGCCCTCCTCACGTGTGGCAAACAGAACAGAGCAGAAAGTTCTGTGAAGTTTGGATTCAGTCAAAGGGCCACACGTGAAGGGCTTTGAAAGCCAAACAGAGCACTTTCTATTTAATCCTGGTTAGAACAGAGAGTCCCCCTGAAGTTTATTCAGTAGGGAGGGTGACATGATCAGACCTTTGCCTTAGGAAAATCATTTTTGCAGCTGAGTGGAGGGTGATTGTAGTGAAGAGAGACTGGAGACAGGGAGACCAAATAGAAGTCTCTGAGAGCCTGCCTCAGAGTAATGGCTGTGTGAATGGAGAGAAAGGGAAGGGGCATAGAGGAGAGATGTTGTGAAGGTTTGAACAACAAGACTTGGTAAGAGTTTGACCATATAGAATGGGTACAAGAGAGGAACCAGGAAGGACATTGAGATTGTGATCCTGGGTGACTGCTTTGGACAGTATTGGGAAGTTTGGAAGAAGGCAGAGTTCAGTGGAGGGAGGAAGAGAATGGCTTCTCTTTTGGACACGTTGAGATCTCTGGAACATCCAGCTGGAGGTGTTAATAGGTTGGAGATGTGACACTAGAGGTCAGGGCAAAGGTCAGAGCTGGATAAATAGACTTGAGAATTGCCTGCATAGAGGTGACAATTGGATCTATGGGAGCTGATGAGATCACCAAGGTAGACACTTAGACAGAACCTTGGGAGACATCTACAATTCATGGGTGTGACCTGGATGAAGATCCAGCGGGACACCAATGAGGTCAGAACGGTAGGAGCAGGGAGCAGAGTCGTGAAAAAGAGAGACAAAATAAACAGAAAACGGTTCCTACCTTCAAAGAGCTCTCATTTGACTAGAAGGTGGAGGTTAGTGCTTTATTATAATTATTATAATTTTAATTTTAATATAATTCAAGATCGTGAGTAAAAGCAGCAGAGATCGCAAAGTTCTGGGAATATTGGATAAATGAGAGAGTAACCTTGAGAGCAGCTAGGTGGTGACATAGCTCATAGAGCGCCAGGCCTGGAGTCAAGAAGACTCATCTTTCTGGGTTCAAATCTGGCCTCAGACATTTACTAGCTACGTGACCCCAGGCAAGTCACTTAACCCTGTTTGTCTCCATTTCCTCAGCTGTAAAATTAGCTGAAAAGGAAATGGCAAACTACTCCAGTATTTTTGCCCAGAAAACCTCAAATAGGGTCATGAAGATTTGCACATGGCTGAACAATCCCCTTGGGGGAGTGCTTTGGGAAAGTTTCATGGAAATGGTGGAGCCTGAGCTGTTTTTGGAAGGAAGATTAGTACTCTGAAAGCCAGGGATGAAAAGTGAACGCACCCCAGAATAATTTATGGAGGATAACTTCTGTGATGTTAGGGATACAGGCAGACAGGTGTCATGTGGAGGTTGGGGAAATGCTGATAGTTCACAGCTTGGCACAGCGGGGGAACAACATGAAATGAGATTGGGAAGGTAGGTTGAAATGAGTTTACAGAAACTCTTCAACAGCAGGCTTAGAGTTTGTTTATCGTCCTAAAGGCAATAGGGAGCCATTATGGGTTTTAAAGGAGGGAGGGGAGTTGACCTGGTTAGAAATGTGGATTAGGAAGCTTATTTTTGCAATAGAATGAAAGATGAAGTGGAGAGATAATCATCTAATTTGCATAGAACTTGCTAGGTGTGCTGGGAGAAGGCTGGGCCCTGCCTTCAAGGCGTTTACATCTAGTTAAAGAAATAATTGGAGGTGTCCTAATAAATATTTAACAACTGAGTTGGAGTGGGGGGAGGGGGGAGAAACATACCCTCAGGAGATTGTAATCTGCATTCTTAACATTTTCCTCCTTCACTTTCTTCAGTCCAGGCACAATCAACAAAACAGGAAATTAAGCCCTGATTTCTGAGGTGTAAATGTTCACACTGAAAGTTAACAATCAGCTCTGGTGAGCCAATTAGAGCTGGCTCCAGCATGTTCTGGAAACAATATGTATGAAGCCACTAAGAACTAATTAAATTTAAAAACAAAAACTGCTGAGACAAGCCTAGTGTCTAGAGAGCTGTGCTGTGAGTGAGCAAGACCTAGACTTAAATACAGATTGGCTATGTATGTTTAGGCTATGCATACTTGAGCAAGTCACTCAAACGTAATCTGCCTCAGTTTCCTTGTCTGTAAAATGTGGGAAATATTAGCACCTTCCTCCCTAAGTGGTTGTAAAGATAATGTGAGATAAAACTCTAAAGTACTCTATAAATATAACTAAAACAATTTCCCCAAGCACAGAGAGCCACATTAGCCGAGGGACTTTCTAGGATGAGAAGTTCCTTACGTGGGTGAAATCTCACATCCAGTACACACACACACAAAAAGTTACATTGTGTAATACAGAAAGTAACTCCTACAGGCATTTAAAGGAAGGAGAGTATGGGGGGGGGGGAGGTGGTCTGGGAAAGGGCTTCTCAGAAGAGCCAGAGCTTGAGCAGGGCCTGGAAGGCTAGGTGGACTTTCAATAGGCAGAGAGAAAATAGAAAACATGCTGAATTCCAGATGAAGGAAATGTCTTAAGCAAATTATAGAGGCTCTTAAGAGCTGATTGTTAATTTTCAAGGAAAGCATTTTCACCTCAGAAATTGGCAAAGCTACAAATCAGGGTTCGATTTATTATTTTATTGATTGTCTGGACTTAAGAGCATGATGGAGAAAAACGCTAATGATGAAAGTTAATGTTACAAGTACATCTTATGTACATTCCCCACCCCCACCCCCGAGAACCGGTTGTTAAACATTTATCAGCACACCCCTGTGCGAATGTGTGTTTGGAGTTGAGGGTATTTGGGGTCAGGATATGAATTTGGGAGGTTAGAAATAAGGATGATCTTCAAATGGAAAGGACTCCACTGTGTATGAGGAAAGCCCATAACCAAACCTACAACAGGGTGATTTCTGGCATAGTGTCCCAGGTGTGGAGGGGGGAATGGGACTGGTACAGTGGAAAGAGGGCACTGTCTCTAAAGTCAAAGCACAGCCTCTCAGTTTGAATCTCGCTTTGGATGTGACCTTGGGCAAGTCTCATAAGTTCAGCTTCCTCACATCTAAAATAGAGGGTTGGGAGGCAGCTAGGTGGCGCAGTGGATAGAGCACCGACCCTGAAGTCAGGAGGACCTGAGTTCAAATCTGCCCTCAGACCAAACACTTGACACTTACTAGCTGTGTGACCCTGGGCAAGTCACTTAGCCCCAATTGCCTAAAATAAAATAGAGGGTTGGGCTGGGTGGCCTCCAACATCCCTTCTAACTTTAGATCTGTGACCCTTAGACCATCCTTGGTCATCAAGGAAGTGTCTGAGCATAGTTGGTCAGGGAAGTAACATTGAAGTTGACCTTTGGGGGCAAACATTCTTCATATTGAGGCATCAGAGGTCCCAGCAATGGAACTGCTGACGCTTTTCCACAAGACCCTCCATCACCTAGTTCCCTCAACACCCATATAGCCAACATGACGTCTGAGTGCCAGCCAGCCAGAGCCTTAGTGCTGGGCTACTGTGAATATCTGCTGCCACCTACTGTTCACACGTAGCACCACCTCCTTCTCAACTCAATACCCTGCTTCTGGGATTCTCTTCCTCACTTCCCCGGGTGCCCTTTAGACCTTCGCCTGGCTTGTTGTTGTTGTCGTGGTTGTGGGGGATTCTAACAAATCGCTGAATCTCAGAGTTGGAAGAACTGTCTTCTGTATTATCCCTTCTTGTCCCCAGTTCTCCACCCAGCTGCCAACATTTGTCTAAGAGAACAGTAAGAGCGTTCTGCCCATGCTGGAGGCGGATGGAAATTCTGTGGCCATGCCACTGATAAGAATGATAAGTCAGGATCCCTTGTTTCCTTAAGTCTTTTAGTGTCGAGTGTATTTTCTACGAAAAAGAAGAATAAATTATGGGAGAGAAGATTTAAAGCTGGAAAGGACCTTAGAGATAAACTAACCCAATCCTCTCATTTTACAGATGAGGAAACTAAAGCCCAGAAAGGGTGTGACTTGGTTAAGATAACACAGTCATAAGTAGCAAAGTTGGAATTTGAACCCGGGTCCTCTGATTCTAAATTCAGATCTTTTCCCCCTTCTTTATTGGGATTAGTTTATTTAGGCTGACTAGAGAGAGAGAGGAGAGGAGGAATGGACTCATAAAACTTTTTTAATGTTTCAGTGATATTTTTTAACAAAACAGTCATTTCCTTCTTTTTAACAATTAAACAAAAATATCCAACACAGAAACCTTGCCAATAGTAATAATAGTTGATATATGTAATATATACTATAATTATAATAATTGGCATCTATACTGTGCTTTAAGGTTTCAAAGTACTTTAGCTATATTGTCTCATTTAATTCTCACAACTGTGTAAGGTATATGTTATTATTACCCCCATTTTACAGACAGGAAGAGGTTAAATGATTTACCCATGATCACAAAGCTGGTAAGCGTCTGAGGTGGGGTTTGAATTCAGAACTTCCTGACTTGAAGTCTAACACTCTATCCATTCTAATACTTAGCTAGTCCCCAGTGGCTACAGTACTCAGCCCTAGTGGTCACATATATCACTGTCTTTATCTGTGGAAGAGTTATGTTCTGTTATCTTGTGAAGAAGTAATTACAAGGGCAGTGGCAGGTGAGTATATGGAGGTGAGGGGCATTTTCACCTCAACATAGAAAATAAAGCAGGGAGGATTTAGAGTAAATGAGAGGGGGAAAAAAATCCTTGAATAAATGAACCCAAGGAGATTTTTAGACCAGTGGTGTCAAACTCCAATAGAGACTGACCCCTGAGGGTCACATATTGACTTATAAAACCACAAGCATTATCTATGTTTCATTGTATTTTTTATTTATTTTGTTCAACATTTCCCAATTACATTTTAGTATGGTTCAGGCAACACTACCCATGACACCTCTGTCCTAGAATTTCTCTAGAGGTCTTTAGAAACAGACCCAGCTCTCAAATGCCTGGATGGGGAGGTTAGGGGTAGTCTTGACTTGGGGCAAGAGAATGAGTGAAATGACCTTAAGTGATTGGGTAGGGGACCTTCAGAGACTCTAATATTCTTGGTTTTTTTCTTCCCTCTATTCCGGGACAGGATTGTTCTCAAGAAAATGACCTCTATCCAGGAAAACATGAAGATCAGGGGCAAGGATTTGGAGAATTTCAACATGGATTGGAATTCATATGTCAAGCAGCTGTCTGAGCTTAATGAAACAGCCACTGTTGTGGTCACCAATTTTGAAGATGTAAGTCCTCCAATATTCATCTTTTCCCTTTCCTCCCCATGGGCACAAATTCAACTAGAATGTCTGCAAGATATGAAGCAAGAGTTTAAAATAGTTAAGAAATGTTTTTGTCAATGAAATGATAGCATTACAGGAAAATAATTAGAAAAGAAATAAAAGCTATGGAAGAAGAAAAGGGAGTTAACAGCTTGGCACAAGAGGTGCAAAACCTTGCCCAAGCAACAAACTCCCTGAAAATTAGAATGAACTAGGTAGAAGCCAATGACTGCATGAGACAATAAGAAATATTAAAGCAAAGTCAAAAGACTAAACAAAAAAAAAAAGGAGGAAAATCTAAGGTACCTCATAGTAAAAAATGACTGAACTGGAAAACAGATCAAGGAGAAAAAAAAAATTTAAGAATCAATGGACTTTACACCACGACAAAAAAAAGCAAGTGCTTAGATATCATATTTCAAGCAATCTTAAGAGAAATTGCCCAGAGCTCTTAGCATCAGAGGCCAATGTGGAAATAGAATCAACTGGTCACCTTTTGAAAGAATCCCCCAAATGAATACTTCTAGGAATATTATAATAAAAATCCAGAGCTTCTAGGCCAAAGAAAATAAAAATACTGCAAGCAGCCAAAAAGCAAGAATGACAACAACTAATTTTTATAATGCTTTAAGGTTTATAGTGTATTTTTGGTTATCCTTAGTATGTAGTACAAGTACTATCATTACCGTTTTACAGATGAGGAACCTGGGGTTTGACAAAGTTAATTGACTTGCCCAAGGCCACAGTTAGTTTTTGAGAGCTGGAATTTAAAAGCAGGACAGTCCCTCACACTTTCCAGTACACCGTTCTGCAACATTTCAGAACTGGAAGAGCCCTGAAGAGATCATCTAGTCTAACCTACTTATTTTGTAGATGAGAAAACTAAGGTCCAAGGGAATGAGTTGATTTGCCCTGAGTACATCTCCCTTTTTTCATCCCCACAGACCCAGTATTATGGTGAAGTCAATATCGGCAGCCCACCCCAAACCTTCCGAGTCGTTTTTGATACGGGCTCTGCTGACTTTTGGGTGCCCTCCAGCAGATGTGATCCACTCTATACAGCATGTCGTAAGATCCTAGCACTGGAGTACCAAGGTCCAGGCTCTCTTGTCTAGGAGTCCAATCTTGTGCCTGGCCCCAAACCATCCCAAACCTAAGCCTTTTTCCTCCTATCCTCCCATTTACTCATTCATCCTTTCCAAAGGGATGGGGATAATTCTCACTTTCTAGATAGGGAAATGAAAGCCCAGAGCTATCCGATTTGTGTACAGAGCCCAGGAGTCCTGACTCCCAGCTCCTTGTTTGTTGAGGCAGGAAAGCCAAAATGATAACAAGGGGGGAAAATAAGGAATCAAAGCATTTGAGGTCCTGGCCAATTCAAAGGACACATGTCTGGGTTTTCCCCAGCCTGCAACAAGATGGAATTCCTAAGCTTCTCCTCCTCCCTCCACTTTGCCTCAAGTCACCAGGCTCCTATTCTCAGTGCTCAGGCTCCAGGGCTTCAATTTAACAGTGTCATGCCAGGAACTTGGCCTCTCTCATTACCTACGCTTAGCTGCCATCCCTGGCAATTAGCCCTTTCTTGTTGACACTTAGACCAATGCCATTCTTAGCATTTAACCTCCATTCAAGGAGCTCCCATGATTCCTAGCAATTAGGAGTCCATCAATAGCATCTTAGTGTCTATCACAGGTCCTTAACCCTTATCTCTGACAACCTGTCAACCAACAAGCATTTATCTAGTGTATATTGTGTACTTATCCCCACCCTCACCCTGAGACTAGAGATGCTTCAAGATGATTCATTTAAACAATGAAATAAAGCTCAGCAGAAACAGGGTACAGAGGCTTAAGTGAGGTGAGTGGGGTTTAGGCATAGATTGACAGTACATTTAGTCTTCAGCAATATGTAAACACCACCTAACTGCTTAGCTAGCAAGATAATGAGATAAAATAGGAAGCTAGAGGATAGCAGGCTGGGTGAGCCCTACATACACCCAGCAGTTACCTAAGTAGTGCCCAGAATCAGCACTGGTGTCCCCAAATCTTGTGTGCCCACCATGGGGAATGTCACAATCTAGCTCCCAAATTGAAGTCACCCTTCATGCTGACTGCAGCAGGCATTGGGTTGCAGCATTTGGAAAAAAAAATCCTAGTTATGGCTCTGACAAAGTATGGGGCACATAGTAGTTGTTCAGTAATTTTTAAAAAAGTTTTATTACGGGATAGTGATTGACCTGGAATTTCATTGATACAGAGTGCTCCCAGGTAAAGAAACTCCCTCTACCAGTGTAAGTAGTCACCTTCTCTACAACTTTAGTCTTAGAGAACTGAGGCCTGAGAAAGTAAATGATGTGTCTGGGGTCACGAAGCCAATCTGTGTTAGAGCAAAGTCTTCTTTGCTTTGGACTGGCTATCTATTAAGCCATGATGCTTTGGGGCACGTTTTCAAAGCCTTCAACCCTGCAGACTGTGGAATTATAGACTGTACGGAAGGATGGTAGAGATTATCTATTGGCCCCCTTTTTGGACAGATGAGGAAACTGAAATCCAGAGAGAAGTGATTTGTTCAAGGTCCCCATTAGTGATAGGGAAGAGGGTCTAGTCTTGCCATCCTGAGCACGTTCCTACCTTCTCTGCCCTACCTGGTTCCCTACTCTAATACCTGGGTCTGTGTCTCCCTACCAGTGATTCACAATCAATATGACTTCTCCAAATCCTCCACTTACAAAGACAATGGGACCAAATTCAGCATCCACTATGCATCGGGCAGAGTCAAGGGCTTCCTGAGCCAGGATACAGTGACTGTGAGTCCCTCCCAAGGAATGAATGTTCCCCCTACCAACTTTAAGATCCTGGAGGAATCCTTGTGGGGGAGGGGGAAGCTTGAAGAGAGGGAATGGATACAGGTCTATTCTCAAAACCTGGGGAGACACTATTGATTGACATTGAAGAAATTTCTGGCTGAAATTAATCCTCCACTCAATTTCATAAGCATTTATTTGTGCATCCGTTTGAAAATTTTCAAGGAAAGAATCTGTTCTCGTGTTTAGACATTAATATCTACAGCCGTTCAAAGCATGTCTGTTTGCTACCTAGCTGAATCCAGCCAATATGAATGGATACCGTTGTTTTAAAGTTGATAGAAATATACATTTTAATAATAAATTGATCGCATTTCTACAGAAAAAAAAACCCACCTAGGGAGACAGATAACAATAGAGTTTGGCTGCTTCTGCTTGATCACTGGGGAGCAGAAATGTAGCCCACGTATTTATTGTAGAAGAAGGCTAAATTGACTCAAACAGAAGATCTTTATTATTTGCATGGTATTTTGCATATAATTTGCATGAGATTAACTTATGGTCAAATTACCTAGAGGTTCTAGTTCTTTCCCCCTTGTGATATGATTTGAGAAGACCAAAAATCTCTCTCTTACACATCTCTTCACTATTTCTAAAATCCCCACTATCCTCATCTCCTTCAGAGCTTTGGGAGGGTACCAGTGTTTTGAGTGAAGGGGTAAGCCACAGGCTAACTAAGGTCTTAGGCAAAGACGGACTTGCTGTGTGGATCCACCTACTGTCCCTGGCTGAGAGGAAGGCCCTGAGAAATGAGTCACAGGAAAGGAGCATTTTTTTGGAAGGGAGACTTGGGGGAAAAAGAAATGGGTAAAATCTGAAGCTTGGACCGACACTCTGTGGTGCCTTAGGGCTGTGGCTGGGTGGGAATCTTTGGGAGAGGAATGAAGGCATTCGGGATGTAGCAGGGAGAAAAGAGTACTGGAAGGACAGACTAACAATTTGGCCCAGAGTCCAACCTGTCCCTCTCGTCCTAGTATTCCTCTAGGCCCTTGGGGTGCCTTCAGGCTAGGTCATTCCTGAGGGAGAAGGCCCAGCACAACACGTACTGTGCGACTCACAACTCCATTAACATTTTGATCCAGCTGACATCAGGTTTTGATGGATAGCAAGGGCAGCCTGGAAAGGGATAGGAAGTCCTAAAAGGGCAGCCTAGAGCCCGGGGTGCACGTAGGAAGTGGTAAATGAGTCAGGTTGTCAAGCAACCAAACCCATGTGGTGAGGGGAATGATGTGGCCAGAGTGGATTAGATGGAAGCTCTAGAGTTTTAAAGAAGCTGGATTCAAATCCGAACCCTGGTACTTATCATGTGACCTTGGGCAAGTAATGTAATCTTCTGGGTCTCAGTTTCCTTATTTGTAAAATGAGGTTAGACTAGATGACCTCAATAGTTCCTTCAGATTCTACACCTATCTTCCTACTACCAATTTCTTTTCTTTTCCCTCCCTAATTCCTCCAAATCAAACTCTCTGTGTCCCAAATCAGGGACCAATATCTTGATTTTCTGCAGCCCGGGGTCATCCCCAGGCCTGGCTGTCCTGGCAATATGCCTGGCCTGCCTTCCAGCTCTCTGACTTCCTTATCCATAGATTGGTGGGATCAGCATGACCCAGGTGTTTGGTGAGGTCACAGTGCTGCCCCTGATGCCCTTTGGACTGGCCAGGTTCGATGGCATCCTGGGCCTGGGCTACCCTGCCCGATCAATGAGCGGAATACTTCCTGTCTTTGACAACATGATCTCCCAAGGAGTGCTGAAAGAAGAAGTCTTCTCTGTCTACTATAGCAGGTGAGGCTTTTCTTTGGGGATGGGCTTCCAGACTCCAGGTGGGAGGAAAGGAGGGGAGTTGTGCCTATGACTGTCCTCTCTGTTGGAACAAGATGGACAGGGGGCCTCATTTCCAAAAGCCTGGGGGAAACCTCTGTGGAGTCCAAAGTTCCTCAGAGAGACAATTGAACCCTTGACCCATGCTAATGAGATGGCATCCCATAAGCCAAAAGAGATATCATGGAAAAGTTATATTTATTAGCTTGAGAAAACGTGGTTTTGTACATCCGCACCAGTATATGTAACTTAACCTTTGTCTAAGCTTTGCACTTTATAAGAATGCTTTGTACCCATCTATTTGCTCCTTACGTCACATTGTGAGAAAGACAGGGCATGGGTTATTATCCTCATTTTATAGGGGAAGAAAACTGAAGTTCCTATAGATGAAGCCAATTAGGATTATAAAATCTAGAAGTGGAAAGGACCTTAGATCATCTAGTTCAGCGGTTCTTAAATTGGGGTCCATGAATCTCCAAGGATTCTGTGGATAGATTTCAGGAGATTCATGAACTTGGAAGGGGAAAAAATTGTGCTTAATTTAGCGTTTCCTTCAGTTATTCAAGACATTATTCTAAGAAGGCTACACGATACTGACAAAGGGTTCTAGGACACAGACAAGGTTAAGAACACTTTATCTAGTCCAGTAGCATCATTTTACAGATGAGAAGACTGAGGCCCCAAGAGGGAGAGCACCTGGTTATCGTTGTTCTGTGGAAAGTGGCTTGAGAACTGTAAAGTGCTATTGAAACAAGTTAAGGTTGATGAAGTGCTTGGCACATGGTGTTTTGTGTGAACTTCACAGCAACCATATGAGGTAGATGTTATTATTCCTGCCCCATTTTACAGGTGAGGGCATTGGGGCTCAGAGAGGATAACTTTGACTTGCCCCTAGGCATACAGATATCGTGAGACGAAAAATTTAGAGCTGAAAGGGAACTTAGAGGTCATTGAGTACAACCCCTTCATTTTACAGATAGGGAAACTGAGGCCAAAAGGTTAAGAAACCTACCCAAGATCACACAGGTTAAGGGGTAGAGCCAAGATTCAAATGGAGAACATTTAGCTCCAAATCAAGTGTCTTTTCCACTATGCCATGCTGCATGGTAGTAGTCAAACCCTGTTCTCACCTGACTCCAGGTGGAGGGTTCTTTATATTATGCCTCTTGGATTTGCCCAAGTTCACACAGTTGAGTTAGAAGAGCTGGGATTCAAACTCAAGTCTTCTGATTGAAAAATCCAGTCTTCTTTCCAGGACACCTTGTTTTTTTTTGTTTTTTTTTTTTTTACCCAAAGTCAGAACTAAAACCCATGTCTGCTGGCTCCAAGAACAGTGTTTACCTGCATCTATGAGAGAGATGTGTATGGAAGAGATATTCTTGGCAGGGGAAATTTTGAGATGTTCTGTAATCTCTATACGTGTGTGTGTGTGTGTGTGTGTGTGTGTGTGTGTGTGTGTGCGCGCATGAGAGGTAATATAGGATGGTGGGTCAGAGTGCTGAACTCTAAGTCTGAGAGGCTTGGGTTTAAGTTCCCTCTTTGACACCTACTTTGTGACTTGGAGCAAATCACTTTTACCTCTTGGGGAGCATTGAAGCAACTACCTAAGACTGTAAGCAACAGACCAGCGCCAATCTGCTTTGATGGAGGGAGCTCTCTCCCCTCATCAGAAGCTCCCTAGATCAGTTAAATCACAGGTCTTTAATATAGCCCCCCCCCAAAAAAAAAGAACTCAACAATATAGCCAGAGATTCACACAGTGTTTTACTGTTAGGTGCTTGGTAACTATTCAGTGACCAAGTGTATATCCTAGAGTGCCAGGGGTGGGGCACCTGTGGTCTCAAGGCCACATGTGGACCTCTAGGTCCTTGGGTGCAGCCTTTCGACTGGGTCCAAATTTTACAGAACAAATTCTTTTATTAAGGGGATTTGTTCTCTGCAGTTTGGATTCGGTCAAAGGGCTGAACTTGAGGACCTAGAAGGCCACATGCTCCCCACCCTCGGACAAATCTGTTTTTCTGTCTTGGTCTCAGTTTCCTCTTCTGAAAGATGAGAGGTTTGGATGAGATGATCTTTGAGGTCTGTAATGACTATAATATTTTATAGATCACGCAAAGACAGACACATATATGTCAGGATACAAACCCACACATACACACATAAAAGTCGTGCACATATATAGCCACACAAAGACCAAATTCTCTCTCAAACCAATAGAACTCTTTCCCCTTCCCATCACCATCAATCAACATTGGCATTTCCACCAAGTTCTGTTTACTGACGCGGTATAGTGAATAGAGCACTAGACTTATAATTGAAATGCCTGCCTATAGTACTTATTAATCTGGAGATCTGGGGCAAGTCATCAAATTTCTCTGAGACTCAGTTTTTTCATCTGTAAAATCAGGATAATAAGAATCCTTGCATTACAGAATTGCCATGAAGAAAGTTTGATCAACTGTAAAAATGTGAGGTTTTATGACCCAACACACTGGAAAATAAAGAAGGATAAAACAACATCCCAGGCCTTCTAAGTTCTAGCTAAAGAGGCATTGTATACACATCGGATCACAGATTTTTCAAGTGGGAGGAATCTTAGAGATCATCTTCATGGGGATGGAGGTGGGATTTCTGCACCCAGAAGGGGTCTGTGGATAGTTTTCAGTGGGTCCATGAACCTAGGATGGAAAAAAAACCCCTTTATTTCAATATAGTTGGTTTCCTTTGAAGTCATATGCATTTTATATGTTTAAAAATATTATTTTGAGAATGGATCCATTGGCTTTATAAGACTACCTAAGGCATCCATGAAACACACAAAAAAGTTAAGAACCTCTGGTCTAGACTAAACCTTCATTTTATAGATGAGAAGATTGAGTCACCAAGATGTTAAATGATTTACTCAAGCCCATACAGGTATAACTAGGGTTAGAACCCAAGTCTTCCAACTCCAAAGCTAGCACTCTTTTTGACCGATAAACCTAACTATGATAGACAGCATATGGCAAGAGTGACAATGACCATTAGGGGAAAGCAGTATACAAGGTAAAAAGAGGTCAAAGTTTGGAGTCAGAAAACCTGGGTTTGAATCCTGGCTCTGCTACTTACTTAAGTAGCCTTGAGATAAATTTATAACCTCTGTGGGCCTCAATTTCTTCATATGTAAAATGGATGGATTATGAGATCCCTGAGTTCCCTTCCATTTTGGGATTCTAAGTATTAGAAGGAACCATCACTGGGTTGGGAGCTGGGGCCCTTGTAGAAGGCCTCTGGACACAAGAGACATTATTAGACTTTGGCTTTGAAGAAATGGTAGATCTTAGATAATAGGAGGGAAGGGGGAAGGAAACTTCATTCAAAGAATTCTTAGGCAGAAAGGCACATGCCATGTTTGGGGGAAAAATAAGGTTGAGTAGAGGATTTGTTTTGGAAAATAGTAGGAGATAAGATTGAAGAGGAAAATGCTAGCTATTAAGAGGTAAGGTAGGGTGAAACCATGGATTGCTTTAAATGCCGTGATGAAGCATTTGCACTTCGTCTCATGGATAAGGAGCAGCTATTGATGGGTTTTGAACTGGAGATGAGAGAAGAAGAAATCACGTACAGAAAGCTGAATTATTAGAAAATTAAACTGGCAGCTGCTCTACCTCGGATGGATTGGAAGGGAGAGACACAGGAGGCAGGGAATGCAGTTGAAAAGCTATTAAATAGCCCAGGGCTGTGATGATGAGGACCTGGATTGAGTGGCAGCCATGGTAGTGGCGGTGGAAAAGAAGGAAGATAGATTCTGGAAACATGAAAAAGAAAGACTCTGAAGGTCATAATAATGACAGAAGGGGCAGAGAGGGGAGTCAAGGATGACTCTTAGGTTTTCAGCATGAGTGAATGGGAGAGTAGTGATACCCTTATAAGTGAAGCAGTGAAATCCAGAAGGGATAGATTCATATGGATGGAAAGATAATTAGTTTGGCTTTAGACACATTGGAGAGACAGAATAGAGACAGACACAGTGGATAGAGAGCTAGCTGGGAAGACCTGGGTTCAAGTGATGCTTCTGATATATATTGGCTGTGTGACCCTGGGAAAGCCACTTAACCACCCAGTGCTCTAGGCCAAAGGTGGCAAACACAGTATTCCAAGCTGTCACAACACTCTAGAGCGGGGGTGGGGAACCTGCGGCCTCAAGGGCGCATGTGACCTTCTAGGTCCTTGGGTGCAACCTTTTGAATGAGTCCAAGTTTTACAGAACAAACCCTTTTATGAAGGGGTTTAATAATAAGGTGATAATAATAAGGTAATAATAATGTGTTTAACCCTTAATATTAATTAATATTAAAGGGTTCAATAATAAGATGATAATAATAAAGTAATAACAAGGTAATAATAATCAGGGTTTAACCCTTAATAAAAGGGTTTGTTCTGTAAAACTTGGACTCAGTGAAAGATTGCACCTGAAGACCTAGAAGGTCACAGGTTCCCCACCCATGCTCTAGAGTATAGTTCAACCAGATTAAAATGTAATTAGGAAATTTTTAACAAAACAAAATATAGTAAAGCATAGATAATGTTAACACATGGTTTTCCAAGTCAATATGCACTCCAAATTCTTATATCCTTATGTATGGCTTAGTGGCCCTATTTGAATTTCAATTGGTCTGGATAGCTCACTAAGCTTACAGAGTAGGCAGAGGGAGTTGCCTTACCGTGGAGATCCCTATAGCAATGGAATCAGTGTAGTTCCCATCTCTATCCTTCAAAATTCTGGGTTCGTGCAACAACATTCATTTGACATGCATTTTTAAAGTGCTGGCTGGATATAGAGCACTATGCTATGTGCTGGAGGAATTATAAAGGTTAGGTTAGATGCAGTTTCTCACTTTAGGGAGCTAAGAAACTAGTTGGGGAGTAAGACACAGACAAGATGAATTGCAAGGCATGACATCACACAAGCGCATTAGAGAGTGTGAAGAATTTGAGGTCATGCAGATAGAAATGTCCATCCAGTAGGCAGATGGAGTGAAATTGGGGTAGAGAGGGAGATGTGATAGTCATCTGCATAGAAGTGACAGTTGAAGCCATGAGAATGGATGAGAAATCTGAAGGATTTCCAAGAGGAAACAAAAAATCGATGCTGACCATGGAGCCTTGATGTATGTTAATATGGAGAGGAGCTTGTGCGGGCAAAAGGCCCAGAGAGGTGACCAGGGAAGTAGGAAGAGAGCTAAGTCAATGCTGTATCATGGAAGCCCAGAGGGAGAAAGGTTTGAGTGGACCAATGGGTCAAACAAAGAAGAGAGGTCAAGGAGAATGAGGACTGCGAAAAACCATTAGGTTGGAGGATTAGAATATCACTGCTAACCTTGGCAAGGATAATCCTAGTATTGCAAGGACAAAATTAATATTAGTAGAAGCCAGGTTACAGGAGTTAAAAAGACTGAGTGAAATATTACCCTGTGTGATTAAAGAGACATCAAGTGATGAGGAAAAGAAGGCAGAGAGGGTGAGAATTTGCTGGTGAAAGGAGAAAAAAAGCAGAGTGATGACTCCAGTATAGCAAGGTTCAAGGGAAATTTATGTAGCTGTTTTTAATTTTTTTTAATTTTTTAATTAATTTATTTTGAATTATTCACAATCACTTCAATAAGCTTTTGAGTTTTAAATTTTTCTCCCCCTCCCTCTCCACCTCCCTCCCCAAGATGGTGCATAATCTGATATAGGCTATACATATACATTCCTATTAAACATGTTTTCACATTAGTGATGTTGTGTGTAAGAATTTGTTTTTAATTTTTTAAAAAAGAAATACTGGAGACCTGAGTTGTTTGTGGGCGGAGGAGAGTCAATGGAGAAGAAGAGATGGAAAAATTGAGAAGGGATGATTGATAGAGAAAGGGTCTTGAAGAATAGGAGGGAGGCAGGTGGGAATCAAGAGGTAGAGGTATTAAGCCTTGGAAAGGAGAGACTGTTCTTCCTCTATGACTAGACAGCAAGGAGAAAGAATGGATCTACATGGCATGGCTATCATATTTGTAGATGACACAAAGCTGGGATTGGATAATTACCACTGTAAAATCACAGAGTCTAGGATCCCAAAAGATCTCAATAGACTAGAACCTCTAATAAGATGAAATTTAATAAGGGTCCATACAAAGTCTCGCATGGTTTTAAAAAAAATCAACTTTGCAGGTACAGGATGGGGGTGGGTACTTTTATTAAAAAAATCTGTGGGCATTAGTGGATTAATGAGGGGATATTACAGCCCAAAAAACAATTGTGATTTGAGGCTGCATAGCTTCCAAGAAGAAGGAGGTGATAGTCCTACTGACCAGTCTTCTGACTTAGAAAAACTACATCTGGAATAGTCTGTTTGGTTCTGAGTATCACAGGACAAGGAGGATGTTGACAATCTGGAGGGTGTCCAAAAGAGGGCAACCACAATGGTAGGGAACCTTGAATGAACGTTTAGTCTAAAAGAAGACAGCTAGGATGGAGGGAATAGGGAACATGAGAACTGTTTTCTAGTACTTGGAAGGCTGTCATGTTAAAAAGGGATTAAGCTTGTTCTATTTATTCCCAAAGGGTAGAACCAATAGCAATGGAGAGAAGTTGTAAAGAGGTTGTTAGGCTGGTGTCAGGGAAAAAAAATTTCCTAATGACTAGAGCTGTCTGACAGTAGAATAGGTTGCTTTGGGAGATAATGATTCCCTCTCCTTGAAGATCTTAAAAGCAAAGACTGAATGGACACTTGTAAGATATGGGTTAGTGGGGACACTTTTCGGGTATGGGTTGGACTACAGCAGTGGTACCAAACTCAGATAAAAAGGGTACATAAGGATCCCTATGGGCCACATATTGACTTAGAAAACCACAGATTGGTATTATCTATGTTTTATTCTATTTTCATTTTAAGTATTTTCCAATTACATTTTAATCTGGTTCCTAACTTAAGCATTGCGGGACACATAGGGCCATGTTTGACACCTACCTCTCAACACCTTTTAGATGACCTCTGAGGTCCCCCTCCAATTATAAATTGTAAAATGTTATGATTCCATGAAGATGCAAAGAAATTTTGAAGTGAGATGAAGGTACATTCAACCCCAGTTAAATGGAGCATAGATGGGTTGTGGGTTGTGATCGACACCTTTGGCAGGAGTGTCCATTTCTACTATAACAGATCACACGTCCAATAACATAGGAAGGAGGTGGAGGGCAGAGAGAGTTTGAGGTGCAGAGAAAAGGAGGGAGCTTGTAATGGCATATGTATGCAGTGGCAGGCATGCATACAAGCGCACACACTCACGTGAAACCTTGCTCCCATTCCGTGTTCTGAAACACACCCTACCCTTTTCCAAGGGAGCCAAACTTGGGAGCAATAACCGATGAGATGTGTGCTGAAGTCTGTGCGGTACAGTGGTTAAAACACACTGCTAGAGGTATCCTGAGGGTCAAATAAGATCATAACTGTGAAAGGGACCAGGGATGGGAGTGGCCAAAGAATTCCTTCAACTTTTCCCTGTCTCTTTACAGGAATTCCATGTGAGGAGACAAGTCCACCCGACATGGCTCAGATCCTCCAGCTTCCCTGACCCTGTGCTTCCTTAGCAGCATGACCCCACACTCCACCAGCCCAGAGAGGCCCCAAAGAGGCCCATAGCAGAGGCTCATCAGGGGCTGCATGCTGATATTCTCTGCACCATCCTCTCCTCCCCCTTTGGGTCACAGTTCTCTGCATTCCTAACCTACCTTCCTCCTCAGCCTTCCCAGAATCTTTTCCCAGGCACCAAGTCCCACTCTGTGGGGTCTGTGCCTGAGAGTGCCCATGGGAAGAGAATGAGTGCTAATTTGCATCTCATTTTTGTGGTGCTCATTTGCACATCTCCATCCCTGTTCCTTTTCTACTAAATCCTACCGTGCTTGCTGGGTCAAGTTGAGCTGACCCAGCTTGGAAAAATTAGAGCTGTCCAAAAGTGGCATGGGCCGATTTGGGAGGAATTGAGTCGTCCCATAATGGGGTCTTTCAAGTGAAGGCTCAGTGGTCACTTATTGGAAGCCCTGAAGAGGGGCTCTTTATTCAGGGATGTGGTTGAGTAGCAGGCCCATTAGGTCCCAACTATGTGGCCCAGGAAAAGAGGAGATAGGCTCCTGAGGGAAATACATGTTCCCTGCCCTTGCCCTCCCATGCTGCTCACTGCCTCCTGTCTCCCATGGCTCTTTCCAATGCTTAGCACAGTGCTTGACACTCAGTGGACGCTTAATAAATGTTGGTTGACATGACTGTCTTTCTCTAACTGCCTTCCCCAATTTTTCCTTGACCCTTGGTCCTTGGGCCTCAGTGAAAAAAAGACTGTCATCTACCCTCCAGGAACTCACATCTGCCAAGTGGAGAGATTGTCCTAGGAGGCACCGACCCCGACTATTACCGAGGGACCTTCCACTACGTCAACACCAGCCGACCAGGCTTCTGGCATATCCAGATGAAGGGGTCAGGAATCACCATTGATTCTAATTTCATCACACCTCCCCCTGCCCCTGAAATTCAGACATATCTCATGTAGGCCAGCACAAGAGCTTACGTCATGCACTTCTCTAAATTCAGAGTCCTCTGGGCTGAGTCTTATCTGCCCACTAATGTTCTTCAGTAGGGACCGCTGCCATAGGTGCTAACACAAGTAGATACTCATTCATGAGGAGGGATGAAGAGGCAGAGGGAGAAAGGTGAGGATGGGGAGGTATTGACTGGTCCCACCAATGCAAGGTCTTGGTAGCTTGAAAAAAATAAGAGAGTGCTGCAGTTGGAATTAGAAGACCTGGGTTTAAATCCTGGATTTGACAACTACTGGCTATGTGGCCTTGGGCAAGTAACAGTCTCTCAGCTCCAGCTGCCTCAGCTGTAAAATGGGAATAATGGTACTTCTACTATACCTCCTTCATAAGGTGGTTATGAAGAAATGCTTCACAAACATTAATTGCCATAATGCCATAATGACTTCCTTCTGCCTCTAAATCCATGGAAGCTCTAGTCCCACTTCTTCTAGGAAGCCTCCCCAGTTTCAGCTCACCTGTTTTCCATCTGTACGGCACATTTTCTGAATCACTCTACCATGTATTTGGAGCATTACATCTCCCCCCTCCTCTACGCAAATAGCAAATCCCTAAAGGCGGGGACTATATCTGTTCTTTGCTCTATCCCCAGGCTTCTACTCTGAGGCTCCAAGTCTCTAGGGGTGGGGTCAGTGGCTGACTCTATTGGCTTGTGAGCCCTCTGTCTGTCTCTGGGCTTCCCATACAGGGTGGCTATCAAGTCCAATGTGCTGCTCTGCCAGGATAGTTGCACAGCATCTGTGGACACTGGAGCTTCCTTCATCACAGGTCCAACCAGCTCCATGCGTAAACTAATGAAGACGCTGGGCGTTAAGGAAGAGGGGGACCAGGTGAGCAAGCCAAACTGGGAAGAAGAGAGTGGGTAAGAGGCTGGGTAAGAACCATGGCCTGAGGTCCCTTTCCCAGAGGATGGAAAGAGCAGCAGAGGGCTACTTGTTATCCCAAATGTGGTTGTCCCATTTTAGCCTTTCCCTCCCCCTAGAAATGCAACGTTTACTCCTAGTGTGTCACAGATGTCAGATAGGAATTGCAGATGTCTTCATTCTACCCTGTGTTGAAATTCAATCCATAGAATTCCTTACAGGTGTTTATCCAGCTGCTTCTGGAATACTTCCATTGATAGGGAGCTCACCACCGTACACAAGATAGCCATTCCTATTTATTCAGGCAGTTCAACTGTTAGAAAGTTCTTCCTTAGATTGAGCGAAAGTCTGCCTCTCTATAATATCCAGCTGGGGCAGCTAGGTGACACAGTGGATAGAGCTCTGGCCTTGGAGTCACAAGGACCTGATTTCAAATCAGCCTCAGACACTTGACACTTACTAGCTGCATGACCCTGGGCAAGTCACTTAACCCTGATTGCCTTGCCAAAAAAAAAAAAGAAGCTAAGAACATAATATCCAGTTATTGGAGCAGGTGGAATTTGCAATTTTTCAAAAAAATATTTGAAGGGAGAAATAAAGATTTGTTCTACTTGACCCCAGAGGGCCATTGTTATGAGCAATGAATCGAAGTTGCCAAGCTAGATTTTGGTTCAATATAAGAACAAATGTCCAAATTCTTAAAAATTGTTGTTGTTCAGTTGTTTCAGTCATGTCCAACTCTTCATGACTCCATTTGGGGTTTTCTTGGCAAAGATACTGTAATGGTTTGCCATTTTTTTCTAAAAATTAGGGCTGCCCAAAAAGTGGAATGTGCTGCCTCCACTGAGAACAAATCCCCTATTACCAGAGGAAGCCTGTGGTCACCGGTAATCATTTGATGGGTATGCAGTAGAGCAAAGCTAACTGGCAAATGTTTAACAGAAATATTTAACCAAATAGATAAAAATATAACACCACATAGATAATTTTACTTTGTAGTTTTCTACTTAATTTTGACACCGTTGCTATTGAGGTAGAAGAGCTTCCTAATTCAGATTACAGGTGAAGCTAAATGGCCTCTGAGGTTGCTTTCTACTCTGACTTTGTGTAAGTTCTTGAGACCAGACAGACACTGAGAGAGGGAACCCAGATGAACACCTCAGCCCTTTCTTACTGATCTATGGACCTACCAACCTGGAAGGCCTGGATCTCACGTGGGCCTTGGGGCCCTTTCTGCCCACAGTATCTTATAGAATGTGACCTGGCGCCCACGCTGCCTGATATCTCCTTCTACTTTGATGGCAAGGCCTTCACCCTCAACAGTTCTGACTATGTCTTACAGGTAAGCTTCTGGGTCATTTTTTATCTGATTCTCTGTCTCTGTCTCTCTTTCTCTTTCTACCTCCATCTCTTTCTTTGGAGTGAGGGGCTGTGGGAGATAGGGATCAGCTATAGGGCTGGGAACCAGGATTGGTGAGAGGGGATTGAGTACAGAGCTGAAGGTGGGCCTGCCCTCCCTCCACTAAAAAAGGGTTCATTTACTAACTTGCCCCAAGGTGGTAGGAAAAGGGGGAAGTTCCTAGGACTATACATTTAAAGTGTGAAGGGACCTCAAAAGCCATCTAGACCAATCTTCTTATTTTACAAATAAGAAAACTGAGGCTCAGGGAATTTAAGTGATTTGTCTATGGCTGCAAAGCTAGCAAGTGTCAGAAGTAGGATTTGAACTCAGATCTTCCTGACTCTAGGTTCAGTGCCTTACTTGCTACAGAGAAGAATGGCATAATAGAAATAATAACTCACATTTCTTTAGCACTTCAAGGGTTATCAAGTGTTTTTATCCTAACAACCCTGTAAGGTTAGTAGTATAAGTATTATTTCCATTTTACAGATGAGGAAACAGGCTCAGAGACATGCCCAAGTGACTTGCCTAAGGTCATACAGCTAGATGGAGAAAGAGCTCTGTCTTAGGCTTTCTTCTCTTTCTATACACTCCCTTGCTGATCTCAGCTCTTGTGGGTTCAATTATAATTGATACATGAAAGGGGCAGTTAGGTGGTGTAGTGGATAGAGTACCAGCCCTGGAGTCAGGAGGACATGAGTTCAAATCTGTGTGTGCGACCCAGGGCAAGTCACTTAATCCCAATTGCCTCCAAAATAATAGTAATTGATACATGAATCACTCCTAAATGACTGTAACTAATCCTAATCCTGAAGGTTAGTTTCACATCTCCAAATTTCTGCCAGAATGTCCTATCAACATCTCAAGCGCAACATGTCCAAAATGGAATTTATTATCTTCCCCCTTAAAATGCTCCTCTTCACTGTATATCAAGACTACCAGTCTTCAGTCACCTGGGTTCAAAAATTCTGCATCATCTTTGTCTTTTTCCTTTCTCCTCCCCACCTCCAGCTAGTCAACTGCCAGTTCTGCTAGTTTATACCTTGCCATCTCTTCCATCCATCCATCCATCTATCTCTCCTTTCTATTTACACAGACACCACCCTTATTCAGGCCCACATCATCTCTCACCTGGTGATTGCAAAAGTCTCTTTTAAAAAAAAAGGTTTTTATTAATATTTTCTTTTTCTTGCATTGCCATAGTAACCCCAAGTATCCCTCCCCCTCCTGGAAAGCCATTTCATATGACCAATAGTATTTTTTTTTAGAAAGGAAAATAAAAGGTCAGCACAACTGATTGATACATTGAAAAAGTCTGAAAACATGTGCCATGTGTTCCTGTGGACCTCCCACTTCCATGAAGAAGTGAGTTGGCAGTGTCCTCTCATGTGAGCTTTATAATTTTGTTACATTTATTTTTGATTTTTTGGAGCATGGCTGTTAGTTTCATTTACATTGTTGCAGTTATTGTGTATATTGTTTTCTTGGCTCTTCTTGCTTCATTCTGTGTCAGTTCATATAGATCTTTCCATGCTTCTCTGTATTCATCACATACATCATTTCTTATAGCATAGCAATATTCCATTATATTCATATACCACAATTTGTTTAGCTATTCCCCCAGCTGATGGGAATCTACCTTGTTTCCAATTCTCAACTATCAGAAAAAGTGCTTCTATAAATATTTTGGAGGATATGGGGACTTTTTCTTATTGATAACTTCCTTGGAGTATAAACCCATTAATGGAGTCCCTGGTTCAAAGAATATGGACATTTTAGTCACCTTATTTGAATAATTCCAATTGCTATCCAAAATGATTATACCATTTCACAGATCTACCAACAATGTAATAGTTCTATACAACTCCCTTCAACATTGACTGTTGCCATTTTGGGGTCATTTTTGCCAAATTACAGGGTATGAGGTAAGACTTCAGGGTTGTTTTGATGTGCATTTCTCTCATTATTAGTGATTTGGGAGCAATTTTTCATGTAGCTATAAATACTTTGCAGTTCTTCTTTAGAGAACTGTTTGTTCATATCCTCTGACCATTTATCTATTGTGGAATGGCTATTAGTCATATATATATATATATATATATATATATACACACACACACACACATATATATGTTTATATGTTTTATATACCAAGCTCTTCCCAGAGAAATTTGATACAAAGATTTTTTTTGCCATTCAACTGATTCCCTTTTTATCCCACATACATTAATGTTGTTTGTACAGAAGCCTTTTCAGTTTCAAGAGATCATTTATCTGTTTTATCTTTTGTAATTGTCTTTATTTCTTGTTTAATTAAGAATACTTCTCCTACCCATGACCATGAGAGGTACATGATGTTTCTCTTCTAACTTTTTAGTTTTTTTTAATTTTATGCATCTTTAGTATCAAGTTCACATATCCACTTAGAACGTATTGTGGAATATGATATAAGGTCTTAGTCTAAGCCTAACTTCTGCCATACTGGTTTCTAGTTTTGCTAGCAGTTTTTATCAAATGGAATTTTTCCTAAGGCAATTTGTTTTCCACTTTGTCAACATTGGGTTATTGAGTTTCATTGTTTCTGAATTTCTTCCCCCTTCCCATCTCCCTGTTCTTCAGCCAATTCCAGATAATTTTGATGACTGCTGCTTTATTATATAATCTGTGATCTGGAAGTGCTATTCCCCTTTTGTCTCTATTTCTTTTCATCATTTGTCTTTATATTCTAAATCCAAATGAACTTTGTTATTATTTTATTATGTCTTGTAAAGTATCCCCTTTGTAATTTGATTGAGATAGCATTAAAAGTGTAAATTAATTTTGGTAGCATTACTATTTTTATTATATTGGCTTGGCCTAGCCATGAACATTGAATATTCTTCCAGCTATTTAAGTTCTTTATTTCCTCAAGAAGCGCTTTGTAATTGAATTTATGCAAGTCCTTTGTGCACTTTTGGAGGCTGATCTCCAGATATTATATGTATTTTGTCATTATTTGGAATGGGATTTTACTTTCTATTATTGATTCTTGTGTTTTGTTATTATGTAGAAATGCTGTTAATTTTTGAGGATTTATTTTGTAGCCTGCAACTTTGCAGAAACTATTAATTGTCTCAATTAGTGTCTTTGCTGGTTTCCTACAATTTTCCAAGAAAGCGTGATGTCATCAAGAGAGAGTTTTATCTCTTCTTTACTGTATTCCTTTAATTCCTTTCTTTTGCCTTATTGCTATTGCTAGCATTCCCAGAACTGTATGAAATAATAGTGGAGAGAGTGGGCATCCTTGCTTCTTTCTTGTATTCATTGGGAAAAGTTCTAGCATGTTCCCATTGAACACGAAGATCTTTTGATTTTAGATAGATGCTTTTTATAATATTTTAAAAAAAAAGGCTCCCATCTATGCCTATACTTTATAGGGTTTTTAGTATAAAAGAGTCATACTTTGGCAAAGGCTTTTTCTGCATCTATTAAGATGCTCTTGTGGTTTGGGATGTTTGGGTTGTTAGTAACTCTCAGTTGCTGGGTGGCACAGAGGACACAATGCTGGCCTGGAGTCAGGAAGACCCGAGTTCAAATCCTGACTCAGATGTCTACTAGCTGTGTGACCCTGGACAAGTCACTTTAATCTCTGTTTGGTCCCATTTCCTCATCTATAAAATAGGCTGATAATAGCAGCTCCCTCCCAGGATTATTGTGAAGATCAAATGAGGTATGTGTGAAGTGCTTAGCAAAGAGCCTGGCACATAGAAAGCACCATATAAATGTTATCTATCATCATTATTACTAATTATGTTGATTATTTTCCTAATGTTGAACCATCCTTTCATCCCTGTTATAAATTTTACTTGATCATAATGAATGAATTCTTGGATAAATCACTGTAATATTTGATAGAACTTAATTTAAATTGAGTCAATGTTCATTAATAATATTGGCTTGTAGTTTTCTTTTGGTGCTTTATCTTCCCCAATTTAGGTATTAGGACTATGTTTGTCTCATAAAAGGATTCTGGTAGGGTGCTTTATTCCTCAATATTTGAGAGTAATTTGTGAAGTATGAGTATTAAATGTCCTTTAAAAGTTTTATAAAATTCTCCTGTGAATTCATCAGGACCAGAAGGCTTTTTTTTTCCCTTTTGTAATTCCTTTACAGATAAATCTATTTCCTTTTCTGAGATTGGGTTACATAAGGTCTTTATAAGGTCTTCTGATAGTTTGGGTATTTTATGGTTTTGAACATATTCCTCTATTTCTTTTGTGTCCTCGGTTTTGTTAACATACAACTGTATACAATATTTTCTGATTATTATTTTTATTTCTTCTGGGTTTGCTGTGATTTTACTTTGCTCATTTGCCATCTTATTGATTTTATTTTCTGGTCTCTTCTTTTTAATCAGATTAGCTAAGAGTCAAATTTATTAGTCTTTTCAAAGAACCAGCCTTTAGTTTTATTTATCATATCTTGTGGAGTTTTTTGTTTCCAATTTAATTCTTTTCCCTCCATTTTTTGGGGGGGGCTAGGCAATGGGGTTAAATGACTTGCCCAGGGTCACACAGCTATTAAGTGTTATGTGTCTGAGGTCGGATTTGAACTCAGGTCCTCCTGAATCCAGGGCTGATGCTCTATCCACTGTGCCACCTAGCTGCCCCCCCCTCTAATTTTTAATAACTGTTCTGCTAAAGCCTCTTAGTTGGTCACCTTGCTCCCAGTTTCTTTCCTCTCTGATATATTTGCTAATTGCTAAAATAATATTCCTAAGGCACAGCTCTGACCCAGTCACTCTTTTGCTCAAAAATCTCCAATGGCTCCCCACTTCCTCTAGGATATTAGCCACTTCCATGCCTTGTATAAACCTCATAGATTACAATACCCCTTTCCCTCTTGGATAAAATGAAGACTTCTCCATCTGAGTCCCACCTACCTTTTCCCAGCCTTATTTCACGGGATTCTCCTGTACGAACTCTATGTTTCAGCCAAGCTGGAAACTCAAATTTACATCTCCAAGTCACTGTAGTCTATCGCCCATGCCTAGCATTTACACCTTTTCTACCTCCACCTTTTAGAATTCTTGCCTTAATTTAAAGCTTAGCTCAAGTACAACATCCTAAGGGAAATTTTTCTTTATCCTCCCCAGTTGTCAGTGCTCTCTGCTCTCAAATTATATCGTATTTATTTAGCTATGCATGTGTTATGTCATATCCAGTACAAAGTGGCCCCTTGAGGACAGACACCTATAAGCATAGCATAACCAATCACATATGGTTTTAGACTTGTTGAATTGAATTGAATTTAGAAACCTGGATTCTAGGGCCTGCTCTCCCACTAGTCAGTTGTGTGACTTTTGACAGCTCATTTCCCTTCTCAGGGCCTTAGCTTCCTCACTCGTAAAATAAGGCAGTTGGACCACAATATCTCTCAATAGCTCCCAGTTTGAAGATTCTATTAAATAGTTCTCTTCTCCAGAGAGCAGAGCTCTACATAAGGTAGGGCAGGAGAACCTTGACCATGAAGTAGTCAAAGATAGTTGATCTTTGATTCTGGACAAACTATTTATTTCTCTAACTTCCCTGGTTTCCTCATATAGAAAATGATGATAATAATTTTTGCCTTCACTACCTCAGAGTATGTCTAATATAGAAATGTGCTAATTACTTATATTTAATATTTATATTTATAATTTATTATACTTGTTTCTATTATATTCATAATAATTAGCATTTATAACTATTTCTTATATTTATAATAATTACTATTTTAAAGTATGTTTTTATAACTATCAATATTTATAAGTATTTATTATACTTATATTTATTATTACTATTATTAAGTGCTTTAACAAGAGATTGCTTCAAGAATTTCTTCTGAGAATTCAGTTGTTCAATTAAAAATAGTCTAAGACGCCTCCAACTTCTTAATAATAATATAAGTCAAGTACCAAAGAATTGTGCGGCTGGGTTGGAGAAGAAGGTGTTCAGTAATGCAGATATGCCCACAGATACTACTGGTTAAGAGTGTGGCGATGGTCTTGTTCAGGACAGGGTAAGTCACCCTAGGTTCTTTCCCCTTCTGAGTCTTAATCTTCTTAGGTTCCCTGAGCTTTTCCCATCCAAACTTCTTTAGAAGAGAATCAATCCTATATTTCTGGAGCAGAAGCCAGAACTGGACTGGCTATCCTGGGTGGGAGTAATAGGAGATGATAAGTAACATTTATAAGTCACTTTAAAGTTTATTAAGCATTTTATATTTATTATTTCATTTGTTGAGATAGCTTTAGGCTGGGAATTTTCCTGGTGGCTATCCCCTTAAATGAGGCCATTAGTAGGGAATAGAGGCAAACGGGGGGAATAATCAGAAATGAAGAGCAATGTCTGGATTTATCAGGTTGAGAGGAAACAGGAAAAAGACAGTGGGATTTATGGAGAAGGGAGAAGCCAAGATAGTACAGGGGGTGTAAGGTTCTGAAAAGATGGGTAAGTGAAGAGGTGAGACAGATACCATAAAGACAAGAGTGTCTGGGACAGCATATTGCTTAACACCAGTGGACAGTTAGGTGGCACTGTGGAGAGAGTGCTAGACCTGGTGTCAGGAAGACTCATCTTCATGAGTTCAAATCTGGCCTCAGGCACTTCCTAGCTGTGTGTCCCTGGGCAATTCACTTAACAGTTTGTCTCAGTTCCCTTATCTGTAAAGTGAAGTGGAGAAGGAAACAGCAAGCCACTCCAGTATCTTTGCCAAGAAAACCCCAAGTGGGGTCAAAAACAGTTGGACACAACTGAAACAACTGAACAGCAACAAAGGCATTTAGATAAATGCATGAATGAATAAGAAGTTAGGAAGGGAAAAGGTCAGTGCATCTCAGTCAAAGAAGCTAAACAGAAATTAGAAAAAAAAACAACAGAAAAGAGATTTTATAGGAGTTCTTGAAATGGACAGGGATTGGACTAGTTCAGTGACCTCTATCTCAAACAGAAACAGATCTCATGTCCAAATCGTTGTGACCCCGTTTGGGGTTTTTTTTTGGCAAAGATACTGGAGTGGTTTGCCATTTCCTTCTCCAGCTCATTTTACAGCTGAGGAAACTGAGGCAAACAGGGTTAAGCAACTTGCCCAGAGTCACATAGTAGGTGACTGAGGTCAGATTTGAACTCAGGAAGATGAGTGTTCTTGACTCTAGGCCTGACACTCTATCCATTTTGCCACCTAGCTGCCCTCTGTCAGCCTCATATTAACTTCAAAATCCACAAATGAACATCATCTACATTGTATTACATTTTTATTTATTTTGTTAAACATTTCCCAATTATATTTTTGTCTGGTTAAGGTAGCACCAGGGAGTTTTACATGCGGCCCACAGCAGTGAATTTGACACCTCTGAACTAGATAAACTCTAGGGTCAGCTAATATTGGAGATAAATGGGAAGTTTTTCACATAGCAACTTTCCAAGTACAAGAATGGGGAGAAAGGGATAGAAAGTAATTTGACAAAAAGATCAGAGACATTCAGTGAACTACATGCTCAAAACCAGTCGACATTGTGATAGAGCAACTCAAAAAGTCGATTCCATTTTAGGCTATTTAATTTAGGTAATAGTATGAAGGGAGATTCTAGATCTGCTGCATCCTACCCTGATCACACCATCAGGAGTACTGTGTTCAGTTGGTGGGGGGCACATTTTATTTTATTTTATTTTATTTTGTTTTGTTTTATTTTATTTTTTATTTTATTTTTTGCTTTTAGGCAATTGGGGTTAAGTAACTTGCCCAGGGTCACACAGCTAGTAAGTGTCAAGTGTCTGGTCTGAGGCCGGAATTGAACTCAGGTCCTCCTGACTTCAGGGCCGGTGCTCTATCCACTGAGCCACCTAGCTGCCCCTGGGGGGCACATTTTAGAAAGAACATTGATAAGGTGGAGATTTTTCCAGAGGAGGATAACCAGGAAGGCCATCATGCCAGAAGAAGATCAGTTGAAGAGACTTGGGGATGTTTAGCCTAGATATGACTTTGGGAGGAGGGTGTGGTGGTGGGGAAATGATAGTTATCTTTAAGTGCTTGAAGGACTGACCTGTAAAAAAAGAATTAGACTTTTCGGCTGGACCCCAGAGAGAAGAACTGGGAAGGATGGATGGAAGTTGTAAAGAGGTAGGCTGAAGCTTATAAATAGCAGAATCGCTGCTGCTGCTGTTTGTCCTTCGTTCTCAAAGAAGACCATGACATCAGAGAGGCGATGCCATGACATGCAAATGAATTGGATTTAAGTGAGGGAAGGTAGTGCAAAGTCACCAGCCTCACTTTTTCCTTTGGAGCCATCTGAGTTCAGTGGCCAGATATGGATCAGGACAACTGGAAATGGCCCAGGATGCAGTGGTGGACCTTGGCTTTCCTTTTTTTAAAATTAATTTATTTTGATTTATCAACAATCACTTCCATATGCTTTTGAATTTAACATTTTTCTCCCCCTGCCTCCCCACTACCCTCCCCAAGACAGCACACAATCTGATATAGGCTATACATGTACATTCCTATTAAACATATTTACACATTAGTGATGTTGTAAGTAAGACTTAGAACCAACAGGAAGAACCACCAGAAAGAGGAAACAAAACTCAGCAGAAGAAAAAAAAATAGCAAACAGTATGCTTCACTCTGCATTCAAACTCCATAGTTCTTTCTTTGGATGTGAATAGCATTTTCCATCACCAGGCCTTTGGAGATGTCTTAGGTGCTTGTATTGCCAGGAAGGATTAAGTTTATCAATAGTAGTTATCGCACAACTTGGCTGTTATCATGTACAGTGTTCTTCTGGTTCTGTTCATTTAACTCAGAATCAGATCATTTAAGTCTTTCCAGGTTTTTCTGAAGTCAGCCTGCTCATCATTTCTTATAGCATAACAGTATTCCATTACATTCATATACCGCAACTTGTTCAGCCATTCCCCAATCGATGGACCTTGGCCTTTTCAAGCTATGGTCTTTAACATGTCTCAGTTTGACTAAGGCAGTGCCCATTCAGTGACTAAGGCTTAATTAAAAAAAAATGAGGCAAAGTATGGCCTCTTTAAAAAAAAAAAGATCTGGGAGGGGAAGACCCTCAGGGTTTCTGGCCAAAATAGAAACAAGTGTTATTTACTTTCATTCTGAGCCAATCAGGGCCCAAATAGTGACTAAGAAGGGCTTGGTCTGGAACCAGAGTGATTTGGGGTTAAGGCTGGTCTTCAGAGAAAAAACAAAACAGAACAAAAGTTTCGGGAGATTAAATCTCTAAGGAACAACCCCCCAAGACGAGCTAACCCACAGTGGAATGGGCTGACTCAGGAGGCAATGGGTCCTCCCCTTCTAGATTTCTTTTAGCATAAGGCTATATCATAGATGGCATTCTCATTCAAGTACAGGTTGGACTAGATGGCTTCTGAGCTTCTATCTAACTGAGCTTCTGTGATCCTATCCCTTCCAATTCCAAGATGCTGTGATTTTATCATAAACAGGAACCAAATGGAAAGATTTGCTAAAAGCCAGGGTCAAGGGAAGAGGGAGGGAGTGAAGGACTTATGAAGGGGCATTGGTCCAAACTAGTCTCTCCTTGCAGGATATGAAGAGCCTTGATAATCTCTGCTTGCTAACCTTCGATAACCTGGATATCCCACCGCCGACAGGACCTCTATGGATTCTGGGAGCAACCTTCATCCGAAAGTTCTACACCAAATTTGACCGGCACAACAATCGCATCGGTTTTGCCTTGGCAGTCTAACCTGCCTCTGCCCATAGCCCTGGTCATGAGGCCAAGAGACAGAGGGCGATGTTACCTATGGCCAAGCCCACATCCCTGTTAGATCCTGCTTCCTCCCTGTTGTGATTGGTTCTGGGGCAAGCTCTTCCATCATGGTCTCTTCCTCTCTATTCCTCCAGGCCACTGTTAACCTCCTGCTTTAATTAAGAATAGAATAAAGTTTCAATGCTCAAAGCTGGTACTGTATGAGATGAGAATGGGGGTTAGCAGGAGCTGGGAAGAGAAGCATTACTGTCTATTTGGAATGTAAGACAGTGATGGGGATAAATTCTTAGACAAACTCATAAAGGCTCACAAATCTTGGCACCCAAATGGACACACTTATCACCCTTGCTTACATGATCGCCATACCATCTCATGCCCCTTCTCCATCTGCAAGTTGTGTCATTTCAGTTGATTTTTCCAACAGTGGGGAAGTATTTTCTTTGTTTCGTGATTTGTCATGGCCCTCAACTGGGCAGTCTACCAGTGACGAGCCTCTCCATACTTACCTACACTCAGTCTTTGGAAAGGAAACTGTTGAGGGGCAGCTAGGTGGTGCAGTGGATAGAGCACTGGCCCTGGAGTCAGGAGGACCTGAGTTCAAATCTGGCTTCAGACACTTGACACTTAACTAGCTGTGAGATCGTGGGAAAGGCACTTAACCTCATTGCCTAACCTCCCCCCCCCCAAAAAAAAAAGAGGAAAGGAGAATGTTGGTTGCCATGCTCTAACCTGGCTCCCTTTGCAACCAAGGACAAACATTTGAAAACCAGCTGGTCCAAGCAAAGGGTATAGCCAGTGACTAGGCTGCATAGCAGGAAAAAGCTTACCGAAGCACAGGGATTATCCATGACCTTGAGGCTCATTAAAACAGAGTTCTTACTAACTGAGCTAATCAAGTCCAGACATGGGTGTATGAATATACACACACAGGTGCTCCTGTACACAGAACCAGAGGCAAGCATATGCAGATGCAAAGATACGTATGGATCTTAGGTGATGTACAATATACCCATGTGCATTCATGACACACAAAGGGCAGAGTCACCAACACACAGGGACAAGACATACTCACATACAGAATCAGAGAATCTCAAGAGACTTCAGGTATGATCTAGTCCAACCTCATTGCTAAACACAGGAATTCCCTCTACACTGACCCATAACTAAGAATTTTAGCATCTGTGGCAAATACCACAAGCTGTATTGGAAACAAACAGCATGGAACAGGTGTTTACAGTTGAGGTGGAGGGAGAGGAGAAGACTGTCCCATGACGGGCAGTCAGAGCCCTTTGTATTAGTGTGAGTCCAGTGCTGGGGAGGCTGCTGCACACGTAGGGAGCAAGGTGGGGCAGAGTAGAAACACCCTGAAGCACCACCAGCTAGCGTCTTATTTAAAAACAATTATTTTGCTCCCTAAGTTCTGTCATTTCTGTGCTGCTAAAGACTATAAGTACTATCTATACCAGGGATGGGGAACCTGTGGCCTCGAGGCCACATGTGGCCCTTTGACTGAATCCAAACTTCACAGAACAAATCCTTTTATTAAGTGGATGGACTCTATATCTTCCAAATTTAGTGTCCTAAGACAGAGTCTCAGTAACCTCACCTTAGTTATGGGTCTGCCTCTTCAACGAGTGGGTTAAAAGTCAAGTGCCAGGAACCACATGCCCACAGGGTCAATGGACAAGGCTTGTGTTAAGTCTTGGGTGAGATTTGTGAACAGTGCCCCGTGATACTGTCCCCAAGAGGGCTTGAACCTTTTCTATGATACACGTAGCTTAGATGACATCATAAACATAGAGGACAGAATCTTCAGGCATTAACATTTTCTACATCCAGAAAAAAACAACATCGAGAAATCTATCAGGCTCCTGAATGTTGTGTCCTCTTTGACTAGTACCCATACTGCAATACTTAGGAGGATCTGCCATTTCATCATTGACATGGATGTTCCCTCTAATGATGCATATTGAAGACCATCCATACTTGCTCTACCGGTTAGGCCCTCCCATAAATCCACTTCAAGGGTTCTGCCTGATGTACTGAGAGCCTTCCTCTCATTCGCCTGACATAGCATGAATATAAATGAAGCATGAGAGCTATTCAGACTAGGCATTGGAAAAGTGGCTGACTATTCTTCCTACTTGAAGCTTGGGTTCTTCAGACAAATACACAAATTAACAGATATTAGCCCCACAACATAGGGAGCAGTCACCTCTAGGAGAAAAACAAGAACAGATTTATCCTGACTATAATTTTCTCCAGTCCTGTCTCCCATCTTATCTTCATCACACACAACCCCCCACCCCCCACTCCCCCAGCTGGGGCTGCTATCCTCATTAGGTCTATGGCATTAGGTGGACACAGCTCTGGAGATGGTATAAATGGAATAGAATCAGACTGAAGGTAAGTACCCTGGCCCCCATTCTTTCCTGTTCTCTTATAAAGAGCTGGTTACTTATTTATTGATTGGAAAGGGACAGGGAATGGGGCCATCAGGGCCCAAACTGAAAGAGGGATATCAAACATAGGAGATGCTCAATAATTTTTAAAATTCATTTAACAGTCATTCGGTAAACTTTCATTAAGCACTTGTTCAAAGAACTGTGCTGGGCACTGGAGGTGATAGAAAGTTTAGAAAAGATAATATTCCTCCCCTCATCAAGCATTTAGCCTAATAGGGGAATCAGACCCAAACACAAGACAACTACAATAAAAAACATTACATGATGTAATTAAGATTCAAAACTAAGTACTCTGTGAAGTAACAGACTTCCTAGTCACAGCTTTACCGGAGGGGAAGGGGGAGAATGGAGTGGGCTTTTCAGGCATAAAGGAAGTCTGAGCAAAAGGACAGAAGTGGGATAATGGTAGTTTAGGGGGCAAGTCTGGAAGGTTCGGTTGACACCAGTTTGTAGGTACTTATGCCCAACAAAGGTGTTTGAATTTTTTTTTGAAAATCTCTAAATATTATTTGTTATATAAGATGCCTCCCTGAGAGGGAAAGGAGGAAGGATACTGGGAGAAATTCTGGTGATATAAAAAAGACATCAACAAAATATATTTTTAAAAAGAAAATTAATTTTAAGAAATTATAAAGAACAAGCTTGACCCAAAAGAAGAAATACGAAAAAACATCCTCCACATAATTCCTTCCTTTTTAGAGCTGGGAAGTTGATTTTGCTCATTTTATTTATCTTTTTAGAAATTATTTATTATATAGGATAGCTCTCTGTTGAGTTGAGGGATGGGATACAGAAGGAAATCTAGGTGACATAAAGACAAAAGATATAAATAAAATCTCTTTTAATTATTATATATCATTAAATCATTACAGATTTTTGAGCAGAGGAATAACATGATCACATCTACGAACAACAACAAAAAAGATTATTCTTTCAGTCCTATGAAGGACAGATGAGACTAGAGAATGGTGGAAGTGGGAAGATTACATGGCCATTAATGAAGTCCTATATTAGTTGTACTTGGATGGTGGCAGTAGGAATAGAAAAAATGAGATTAATTTGAAGAGGATCTTGGAAGTGAGAGGAAGAAAGACCAGTAGAAAATAATCACAACCTTTCAAGTAGAAATAATAAAGTCAGAAGGACAAACAGCTTTGGGGGAGGGGCAGAAAGGATAACACTATGGTCCACTTTGGATCCACTTTGGATTTGAGTTGGAATTATCCTGTAGTTACTTAATTATCCCTGCTGTATCCCATTCTCCCGATAGAATGTAAACTCTTTGAGGGTAAGGATTGTTTCCTTTTCGTCTTTGTTTTTTTTCCCCAGTGCCTAGCATATAGTAAGGCATCTCATAAATGTTTATTGAATGGCTGAACTGAATCGAGGTGCTAGTGGGAGGTGGAGGCCGACATGTCCTGAAGGCACTTGCACATTCAGGACTGCAGGTTTAGAGCAAAGGTCAGGGCTGGAGATTTGGATTAGATTTAAATTGGTTAAAATGAGCTAAAACCCCAGTGGAAAGCTTCTTGAACAAAGACCAACACTGGCCACAGCTTGGGATCAACAGAGGGTGTACAAGTTGCCACCTTCTCCCCCTCCCACTGTAGCTTCACGCCTTGTCAGTCATCAGGTGGTTTTGGGGAGGACAGTCAGGTCAGTGAAGATAACTGCTAAACAGCGAGCGCTTCCACTGCTTAGCTCCGGAGCTCCCGGGCCCCAGAGGAGCAGACCATCTCCAAGGTCCGCCACAGCCAGCTTCACTCCAAGTGAGATTGGCACACTCCCCTCCCAGGAAGTGATTAGTGAGATTAACTCCAGATCACAGTCACTCTCCAAGTAGAAAGTGAAATGCCCCCTGTCCCTCCATCTCTGGTGGCTGCAAAGCTTGAGCTAGGGTTTTCTGTTTTGTAATGGGGTTTTTTGTTTGTTTTTAAAAATTCCTTCCCCCCCTCCCCCCAACTCCCCATCATTTTAACAAGATTGTGAAGTGCCTAGGGCTTCTCTCTAAGGCAGGAAGCTTTGGGCACGGCTGTGGACGTGCGATGATTCCGCCAGGTGGGCTAGAAAAAGGATAGGACGGTGTCTAAAGTCAAGGGGGATGGCACTCTTATTGGGTTCAAGACGTTCAGAGCGGAGTTTCCTCTAGGGAAGGGACTCACTCTAGGGGAGAAATATGCAGGGTAAGGTTAAGCTGACCTGACTGTCAGCCGGAAGCTCATTCTCCGGCCCTGGTTCAGGAGAGTCTCCTGGCTTCGTTCTATTACCCGGGCCCTGGCAGCTAGATGCTGAAGCTGCCCAGCATTTACACGGAGGGAATCAGGACCACTCCTCCCCAAGCAGAGAAGTAACTCCCCCCCACGCAGGGCCAAAGGATGGGAGTCCAGGCAAGGCCGGAGAATTCTTGGAATCAGGGGACCCCCCGCGGGGGAGGGGCCGAGAGAGGGGAGAGGAGGTGGAGCGGGGGGGTGGGACGGAGAAGGCCGGACAGTGCATGCCCCTCCCCCAACCTGACCAGCCTTCCCGGGGGGCGTATGGAGAGCCGGGGGAGGGGGACTCATTCCTCCATCCCGAGCTCCAGGTTTCTGCTGCTGCTGGAAGCTGGCTGCAAACACAGTGAGACCATCCACCATCACGGCAGCTTTCTTCTGGCAGCGGGGGCGGGCGCTTCCTCGGCTTCCCTCCCCCTGGCCTCGGCCCCTGGTCCCCGGCCCATGCCTCCGGCTCGTGATGTCACAATCCCACCCGGACAGAGTGTTCCAGTCCCCCGCTCCCAGTTGTCCGGCTGGGAAAAAGGAGATTGCTCAGGGGGAGCTCGGTCGTGAGTCATGGACTTCTCCTGGCTCCTCCTCTACCACTCCCACTCCCTCGCTGGCCCCCCCCACAAGGGCTAGCGTTCGCTCTCGGGCTCCGAGGGGGTGGGGCTGCTGGGAATGGCTGTTCGCCCTTCTCCTCCTCTGCCCGGCTCCCTATTTTACCTGAAGAGGCAAAGATCTTGCCCACAGTGCACATGGGGCATGGAGGAGAAGACAGCGGCGCAGTCGGGGGCCAGCGGGGCCAGCCGGGAGCTGCCAGGCCCCCGGAGGGTATCTGCGGTCCAGTACTTCAATACTGCAGTGGACCAAAATCACATCCTTCCCGGAGCCCTCCGGCTCATTCAGGAGCTGCGCCCGCACTGGAAGCCCGAGCAAGTTAAGACCAAGGTACGCGGGCGAGGGAAGGTGCAGGCTTGGCGGTGGAGAGGTAGAGCGGATCCGAGCGGGGCGGGGGAGGAGGGAGTCCCCCTAACCCCTTTCTTCCACACACCCCCCACCCCAGGACTGCCCGGGGAGGGAGAATCAACACGTTTCTGGGTATGAGGAGGCTGGAGAGGGGACTGGGGGCTGATCAGGAGAGGAGGCGGGGATGCTGCTATGCTACTGCGTGTGTGTCGGAGCTACTCGAGAGCTTCTCTGCAGGAGGCATGGGGTGGGAGGTGGTTGATTTTTTTTTTCCAATTTGGTTGGGGGTGGGCAAGGAAATACAGGGTTTACTCCATCTTCAGTGGATGGGACTCCCCGATCTCTCTCTCTCTCTCTCTCTCTCTCTCTTCTCTCTCTCTCTCTCTCTCTCTCTCTCTCTCTCTCACACACACACACACACACACACACACACACACACACACACACACACACACACACACACACGAACACACACGCGCAGACACACACATGCACACACACACACCACGCCCCCTCTTGCTTGTTTCTGCCATGCTCTGTAGGAGAGGGTTCTACCGCCTGGGGATGCCACCCTTGCTCCATCGTATCTGGTGTGCCTGACATATACCGGGTATAGAGGGATAACTTTTTCTGGGAACCCCAATTGCACTCCCCAAACCCATAGTCTTTTCCATCCAAAGACCATATTTTGGGGTTCTTGCCTTGTCTTAACTGGGTACTCTCAGAAACCAGCAGTAGAGATTCCTAGCTATACCTCTCTGGGCAAGAAACACAGTCTCCCCAAGATTAGGTTGGCTTCACCAACCTTCTGACTTGTAGGCAAAGTCACATACAAGGAGAGGAGTGGAAGGTGAAGGGAGGAGCCCCCAAGACAGCATAGGATGCCTCTTACCCAAGTAGAGCCAAACTGATTCTCCAGCTGACACATCTTCTCTCCAGAAAAAGGCATCACCTGTGTGCACACACCTCATTCCACCTCAGGGCCTGTTCATTGAGAGGAGAACATCCAGTCTTCCCCAAGAGGAATGTTAAAGGCTGAGCCCCTCTACCTTGTTTCATAAGAATGGCAGTACACTGGACCAAGGAGTGGAAGGTGGGGACAGGAGTCAGCCATAGCCCCCAGTAGAGCATATAATGACTTCTACCCAAGTAGATCCAGACTTACTCTTTAGCTGGTGTATCTTTTTCTCAAGGAAAGGGCATCACCTGAATGTACATACCCTATTCTACTTCAGGACCTGCTTGTTAAGAGGAGACTGTCCAATCTTCCCAGTAGGAATATTAAAGGCTGAGACCCTCTGACTTGTTTCTAGGATTGCAGGACACTAGTTATGTTGGAATATTAACCAAAGATTGGAAGCTGCTATGAAGGTCCATGGTGGACTATGGAAAGTGACATTCCAAAATAGGGAGAACTTTTGTGTGTGCCTGCATATTTGATGTGTGCTAGGGAGGGCTCATTCAGAGGAAATGGGCAATGTACACATAGCAGAAAGAGCAGTGATCTCAGAGTTAGGAGACCTGGTTGGGTTCTTCTAGCCCTGACTCTACCAATAACTAACTATGTGGTCTTAGGCCAATAATGTCTCTGAGACTCAGTTTCCTCTTCTGCAAAATCAGTAAGTTGCCACAATCTCTTAGGTTTCTTCTAACTCTAAATACTTTTATTCAATGAAGTACCTAAATTCTGTGCTACTCTGTGTGTCTTACTTCCCCCTTCATAATCTTGGTGAGATCAATCCCTCTAGGCCATCTGTGCAACCTTGGGAATAATTGCCTTCTCTCCACATAAGGCAACGTGCAGGTGTCTCATTGATATTCTGATGACATTGTTCCCTGCCTCAGACAGCCAGCTGAGTAAAGGGTAATAATAGTATTCTATAGCACTTTAAGAGTGACCCTGTGATTCCTTCCATCAGCCCTACGAGGTAGGTAGTATAAATATTATTTTCTCCATTTTACAGATGAGGAAAGTGACACACTCAGGTTAATATCATATAGTGAGTAAGGGTCAGGGCTGGGATTTGAACACAAAACTTCAGAGTCCAAGGCTAGCATTCTTTTAGCCCTAGCTGAGAGAGGCCTCTGTCTGAAGGAGCTCCTGCTTTGCTCCCTCTGCCAGCCCTGTTTGTATTTGAGCTAAATTGAAGGAAGAAATTCAGTTGGGAATAAGGGAGAAGAATAAGGGCCTAACCTCTACAGAACCCAAAAACTCTCTCCATCCCGAGGCCCACACTGTGAAGAAGAATCAACCAGCACTGAAGATGAAGTGGTCAGTCTGCCATTTTTATAGGCTCAGTCATAGTCACCTGGCACAGCTTAGGCACTAGAAGAAAAAGCAGAGAGACACTGATTGGGTTGGGGAAAAGTGGAGAAGCCACTGATGAAAAGGAAATACTCGTTGGATTTTTTGGAATATCTGGGAGAACTGTATTGATTAGTCTTCCCAAAAGTCTGATCCCTCATCCTGGCCTGAAGGTGACTCTGGGTTCTCAAAGGCTATGATAGCAGGAAACAAGCTGTGGCAGATCCTCCTAAGCTGCGAAGGCTTCCAAGTATGAGCCCCATCGTGGACCATGTCTATTGTCTGAGGGCTGTCCCAGCTAAGCCAATAGAGGCTCAATGGAAAAAAAGGCTGACCACTAGGGGATGGATCATTTTGGCCACAGCACCTCAAAAAAACCAAACAATTCAACAACTACTAAGGCAGGGAAAGGATATATAGTTCATATCAATTGGGGGGAATACCCATACTGACCAAATCCTGGAGCTTTTGGAAAATTTGAAATAGCATTGTCAATGTAGACTCTATTCCCATTAGCACACAAATTAACAGTGACTCCAATGGAACTCTGAGTGGGGATGATGGGGCTGGGAAATCCAGCAGCCCTTCTCCTCCCATCCCCCTCAGTTCTCCTCCCCCCTTTCCTTAATCGTATAGCGCTTCACTGATGGGATCACCAACAAGCTGGTGGCCTGCTTTGTGGAAGATGACATGAGGGACGCAGTGCTGGTCCGTGTCTATGGGGAGCGGACAGAGCTTCTGGTGGACCGGGAGAATGAGGTCAGGAACTTCCAGCTCCTTCGGGCCCATGGCTGTGCACCCAAACTCTATTGTACCTTCCAAAATGGCTTGTGCTATGAGTTTCTCCCAGGCATGGCTTTGGGGCCCGAGCATATCCTCGAACCCCGGCTCTTCAGGTGAGGTGGGCTTGGGAGTCCAGGGAGAGGTTGGGTACAATTTTTATTGGTGGTGGGGAACCACTGGGCTCAGAGATTGTCTATTTATAATACACTTCTGTCTGGTCTCATCTTAGGCCACTGGAGTTGTATGCTCTTGCCGACTTCTTGGCTAACAGGGCAGGTTCAGGGATATGGAGGAGAGGAGAGGAGAATGAGGTAGAAATTGACAAAAGAACCCTGGTTTCTTGGGTATATTTCGTTTGAGTCACTGCAAAGGGCAAAGAGTTCCAGGGAAGGAAGGCTGCATCCCAACCTCTAGACTTACCCACATCCCTCTAAAACCTTAGAAATGGCTCACTCATTCAGGAGCTATTTTATTTATAGTACCCGCTATGCGTGAGGCACTATATCCAAATCCCTAGAGTGCTTGGGGTTTCTCTCCCTGCTTTTCCCCTTGCCACTAGTTTAGGGTATGTACAGAAATTGGGACCCATGCTAGAACTGGTATGTACTTCAGGTGAGCTCCACCTGTGAAGGGTGATACAATTCATTCCAAGCTGGCCTTCCCTCCAGGTCCCTGGGCCTGGGGATTCTGGGAGCTGGGCTTTCTTCCACAAAACCCAGATGCCTGTACTTAATTATTTCAAGCCCAGATGTGAGAGCTACTACTGGGCCAGGGCTTCTCTAAAAAGGGGGCTTGGAGATGCTCTTAAGCAAGCTCCTCCCCACTATTCCATTGAACCCAGTGCTAAAGGCCAATCTGGGAAAAGTAGCAAAGGAAGAACCCAAGTTCTCCCCAATGCACACTCAGCTGACCCTCACTCAAAGAGCTGGTGAGAAGAGGAGAATACTTAGATAAGCCATCAGATATTGCTAAGAGGAAGTACCGTCTAGTGGCTTTAGAATCTGGGTTCTAATTCCAACTTTGCACCTCACCTCCTTATTATTCCCACCATGTCAAGTCCTTCCTTCCACTGTCTTGCCTCAGGTGGGGCAGGCCCTTTCCCTCTCTGGCTCTCAGTTTCCTTAGTAAAATGAAGGTGTTAATCTCTAAGCTTCCTTCAGTCTCTGAATTCTGATTGTCACTCCGCTCCTGGGAGCTCCTGGGGCCTCCTGGGTGTGAAGGAGGATTGGGACGATGGGGGAACAAGGTTTACAGACCAGGACACACACCTGTGCAAGTCTCTCTCTGCCAATCAACTGGGTGAACTGAAAAAAAACACAACAGCCACAGAAGGGGCTTTTCTACCCTCTGCTTTGGGGAGGACACCTCTGTGAGGGTAACTGATCGATCTTAGGGCACTGGAGAATTGCAAATGTGTGCAAAGAATTTCTTTAGAAAACCACCCACGAGGGAGGCAGTGAAAATTGCTTTTACCTCTTCACCCCCACCCCTGCCTTAAAATTGAGGGCTAAGAACAGGAGGGTCTGACTGGCAGATGGGAACAGGGAGTAGAGCAGTTCCTGAACCTGGCCCTCGTTCGTGCCCCAGCCCTGCTCAGTTATGCTGGGGCTGGGGAGGAGGGTGGTAGAAAGCTGCCTGGAGCCTTTTCCTAGCATCCCTCCCAGCTCTGCATCAGGAAGTCAAGCATTGCAGAAACCTACCACTCCCACCCCCACCTGGGAAGACAATTGCTATCTGTCATCCCTGATGGGAGAGATTACAGTTGTCAGGAAGGCTAGAGAAGGGATTTAGGTTAGCTAGCAGAAAGAACTTTCTTCTTTGAGAGAGGCAGAAAATTACACGAGGATGGGCAGGCTAGTGCTAGTCAGGCCTCCTCCTTCCAGGATCTTTCCCCAGAGACACCTGTCTGGGCAGGGTGCATCCACCTGCCCAGAGGCGAGAGAAGAATGAGGATGGCCCCAGGAAGCGCTGGTCACCTGGGGAGACCTCTTTCTCTGCCTGCCCAGGCTTTCCAGCTCCAAAAATGCTGAGTGTAGATGTCATCCTCATTGCTATTCCAGACAAGAGCTCTATTGATATTCAAGTAAACGCTCTGTGTAGAATCTTCCTCTGGGAAGGGAGATGGGGAAGAGCTGTGTTTTCAGGTCTGTTCTCTGGCCCGGTGGGAGAGGAGTCCTGGCCCAGCTCTTCTCCTCCCACCCTGGGGCCCTCCTGCTCAACCTCTGAAGCTGGCCTTGATTTCTTCACCCCTCCACGGCCACCCCTCCTACCCCCACCTTTTCTACTGTACACAGGGAGATGCTGGGTGGAGGAGGGGGCAGCAGAGGAGGTGGTGTCCCCCTCAGAATGCCCAGGGTTGCCCTTTTGCCTCTGGGGGGGCACCGTCAGCTCTGCCCCTTCCTGGAGCCAGGCGCAGAGTGTGGGGGGGGGCGCAAGAGAACAACATGGTAACAAGGTTTCAAACAGCAAATGCCTTTATTGTGCTCAGCCCGTGATTATTATCCAAGCAACAGGCAAAGGCAGAGAGGCAGAATGTTGGAGGCTTGAGGGGTGGGGGTGTGGGGGGAGTGAAATGATAAGAGGAGGATGGGCCCCAGAGCATGGTGGTACCCAAAGGGATCCTAACCCTGGAGGGTCCCAGGGTTTAGGGTAGGAAATCTTCCCCCCTCCCCACTCCCCTCTGGCTCTTCCCAGCTCAGTTTTCCCTTCTTCTTCTGTTCCCTGCAGCCCTCTCCCTCCCAGGACCTTGGACCGCATCCACAATAGAGCTCGAAATAAGAACGTGGGCTTGTTGTGTGTCCTTGGCGCCCTGATGCCAACATCAACTCCCGTTGGCCGCAGAGAGGCTGTCTTGGGCCTACCTCCCTGCCTTGGCCAGCCTGATAAGAGGCGGGCACTTCCTGCCTGGTATCCCTCCTTGGAATGAAGCATGTGTGTGGATAGCCCTGAGGAGGCTGGGCAAAAGGAATATTCCCCCTATGCCAAGTCCCCTCTCCTGCTTCTCCTTCCCGTCCCCCACTTACTGCCTGTTCTCTTCTTATGTGAGGCTGGACGGAGAGTCATTATAATAATATTTCACATTTATGTAGTGCCTACAAAGCATTACTCATATTTATGTAAGTGTGTACACACATATAACTTTGCATCAGATCTCATCAAATTATCTCATCAGATTCTCACCTCAAGCCCGTGGGCAAATATGTGGCTTATTATTATTATATTATTATTATTATTATTATTATTATTAAATTATTATGTACAGATGAAGAACTAAGGCTCAAACCCAAGACTCTTGCCTTCAGATCTAGTGCTCATACTGTACCAGGCAGTCTTGTTGTGTTTGGGTCCTGACCACATAGGCAGTGCCCACCAATGACTATTATCACTATTTCACAGATGAGGAAACTGAGACCCAGAGAGATAAAGTGACACAGGGGGCACATAGCTACTAAATATGTGACCTGGGACTTGGTTCCAGGTCTTCTGATCCCTAAGTCCAGCACTCCTTTTACTATGCCACAATAATAATAATAATAATAACAATAAGTGCTTACTATATGCCAGGAACTATTGCTAAGTGCTTTACAAATATTATCTCATTTGATTTTTACAACAACCCTGAGATGTAGGTGTAGCCCATTTTACAAATTAGGAAACAGAGGCAGAGGATAAGAGACTTGTCATGAAGCTAGTGTCTGAGGCTGGTTTTGAAGTCTGGTCTTCCTGACTCCAGGCCTGGTGATCTATCCACTGTACTACTCAACTTCCTGCTATATGGCATTGGGCAAGTAAGTCATTTAGCCTTGCTGAAATTAATTTTCTTATATGTAAAATGGCGTTAATGATGATTAAGCCACCAACCTCCCAGGGTTGTCATGAGAAACAAATTTTGCAAACCTTAAGATGACATATGAGTAATTTAAACTCTGTTTTTACGAGTCCAAATCCGATGGTTTTCTGGTATGCCATCCTGGCTGCAATGAATCCATGTGAGATGGTGAGGAAAGGATGGTGACAGGTAGAAGGACTGAGTAGGAAAGAGTTACTGAATGAAAAAAAAATGACTGCCCTGAAGGTCCTGGCCCGTCAAGTCCTAGTTAGAGCTGGAAGGGACCTTAGAGATTATTCAATCCAACTCCTTCATTTTACAGCTGAAAAAACTTGAGGCCCTCAAAGGTCACTTAGATTGCCATTACATTGTGCATCTAAAGATTTCTTCCTTTTTCCTGGTTCCAGTTTTGGAAATGGAATGGGAACTTCAAGCCTGAAGGTTCCGTTTTATTCTTCTGTCTTGCAAAAGTCCAGGGTCTTCCTGTTCCAAATAGCAAGTGGGTGGTCCTCCCTAACCCTTTTCTCTTTCTGGTTCAGAAGGCAATGGGGTGGGAGGGGGAGGAGTGGCATGGGGGTATCAGAGTGTGAACGACCTCCATGGTGACCCTTGTATTTGTGCTTTACCATAGGCTGATTGCCTGGGAAATGGCAAAAATCCACGCCATCCATGCCAACGGCTGTCTGCCCAAACCTGGCCTGTGGTCCAAAATGTACAGATATTTCACTCTTGTCAAGGATTCTTTCAACTCCAGGTAAAGAAAGGAGCTGCAGTCAGGAACCCCTGTCCTACTCTACCCAGATTAGGTCTGGCTTAGACTCTTTACCCTGGGTGGACTTGGGAAATTAGAGCCTAAATCCCAAAAGAAAGATATCCTAGGACCATAGATCCAGAGCTGGCAGGGACCTGAGGCCCAGAGCGTTAAGTGATTTGCCTCAGGTCATGAGGTAGTAAAGCCTCAGAAATGAGGGGCGAACTCTCACTTCAAGCTATCTCGCACATGTCTCCTTTGAATTCAGAGGCTCTTTGTTTATCTTTTGCTCGGGGTGAGCTGGTCAGAGAGACCAAGTTCATGGCAAGGCTATTGATGGACAGACAGCCTAATCTTTTTTTTGATTTCTAGAAAACTTTTCTGTTCCAAGGTCTTTCACTCCGTCTGGTGAAATGCTATCTGGCCTCATACCTTCTGAGCAGCATTGAGAAGGTCAGCAAAGGGATCTCTTTTATGCAAGAGGAAACAGAGGTCAAGAGAATTTGGTTAAGGGACTTGTCCAAGGTCCCTTACACAAAGAGTCGGTGATTGAACCCAGATCTCCTGATGGGCTTTTCCCTCCACTGATCACTTGGATAAGAGCCTATGACAGTAGAGTGGGGATGAAGCAGGATTGGGATGCTGCAGCCAGCAAAGTCTATTCCCTTTCCTTTTAGAACTTGTCTACCTACACAGGTTGATCATCCATCCCACCTCCAGGTTCTAGACCCTACCCATCTCAGACAGATAACTAACTCTCTTCTCCTTTCCCCTCTCTAGGGAAGGAAATGCTATTGTCCATCTGCCATATCCCACCCCTTCTTGAGGGTCCTTCAGCTCTTTAAATCCTTCCCTAATTTTCCCTAATCCATAACCCTGAGGCTTCTACTAATTCCCCCCAAACCTTGTTCTCTTCATCCTTGCCTCCCCACCACATGCAGAGAAAGGATGAAAGGGGGCTCCCTTTTCCTCCAAGACAACAGCCTCCTCTTTTATCTCTTTCCACGTTTACATACTTAAGGATTACAAGGCACTTTCCGTACAACTACTCTGTGAATTAGGTAGTACAAATGTTATTATCTCCATTTTACAGATGAGGAAACAGAAGACCAAAGAGGTGAAATATCTCGATAGCCCATGGTCACATAGCTTGTAAGTGATGGTGGCTGCATTCTGAATCAGTTCTATCAAATCAGTCTATCTAGGTCCAGCTCTTTCCCCCCCACTGTACTCCATTACTTCTCATAGATAGCTCCCTGTCCAATCAGTGTGAGCTCAGGCTCTTTGGCCGAAAGTGACAAGAGAGAGATAGGGGAGAAAGGATTATGCGAGTTAAAGAAAGAATCATGAATGCCATTCCCACTGTGACTTTCTTCCAGCCTCTAACCAGGGGTGACTTTATCCAGATCATCCCACTTAATCATTAACAAGCACTTATTTAGGGACATTTAGTGTTGGGTGGCCTTGAAGTGTCACTGTTGGAACAATGCTAGCCTCTCTGTCTTCTCTTGTCCTTGTATGTCTTCTATTTCAAATGCCTTTCATCCTGTTAATGGGGTTCTGAAGCCCTTTCCCCCTTCCCCCCAATGACCAGAAAGGAAGAAGAAAAATGATGATAACAGATGTTCAAAGTAATGCTTAAACATTTGCAAAGAGCTTTTCTTCTTGGAACCATAGAATGTCAATATTGAGACAGAACTTGGAGATCATTTAGTCCACCCTTTAGGCTGCCCCTGAAATTTTAGAACGCCATCCAGGGAGGTTAAAATACAATAAGGAGCTTGAATTTTATTCTGGATGCAGTGAGGAACGCTGTGAGCAAGAGAGTTACCTGATCAAAGTGGTGATGTAGGAAGACTAATTTGGCCTTGGTGTGTGGGACAGATTGGAATGAATGAGACACTGAGGCAGGAAAACTATCCAAGAGGCTATTTAATAGCTCAGAAGAGAACAGATATCAAAAGTCTGAGCTCAGTTCAATTCAACAAACATTAATTAAGTTTCTTCTATGATTAAGGCATTTAGCTGGATGCCCTGTAAAATAGAGAGGTAGAAAATGATATAGGCCGCCCTCTTGAAGAGTTGATGGGGGGAGGGGGACAAGTACACAAATAACTATGATACAGGGGAGATAAAGACAAGGGCAGAGGGGAGGGCCAGGCAGACAGCCAGTAAGTAGATTTGAACTAGAGAGGTGACAGTGGACATGGGCAGGAAGGGACTAATTTCAGAAACATCTCCGAGCTAGAATAAACACAATGTAGCTACTAGTTTATGGGGGTGGGGAGGGCAAAGAGAAGGTAATTTAACTTGAATTTTTGAACCATGGTGACTGGGAAGAATAGTGATTCTGTTAACAAAAACTTAAGAATTCAGGGGGAGGCTCCAGCCTGGGAATGCTATGAAGTTCGGCTTTTGGCAGGATGTATATATCCAGGCATCAGCTCATCCAGAGGGGAGAATCCATCCATTGTAGGAACAGAGGCCTCTCTCCTCTGCAGCTTACTTGGGTTCAAAGGTGACAACAGTTCTCGTGACCTTGAGGTTCCCCTTGGAATATCGCCAGTTCCTTGTGCAGGGGGAGTGCCAAGAGCTTTATCACCTTTTGTAGTGCCTTTTTTTCCTCTTCTGCCCTTCTCAATCCTCCCCCTGGCTGCAAGAGTAATACTTTTCCACTCAGTATATTATTGTGGTGGTGATGGATACTAAAGTTGCCAATCCTACAACCCTCAAATAGATGTGAGAAGGTCAAGATGGAAGATGATAGGCACTTGAGCCAGTGTTTCCGAATGCTGACCAGAGAAGAGACAGGGCCAGCTCTTACATAGCTTCAGTTTCTTCCTTCCATCCTCCTTCCACCAAGTATGTGGGGGGGGGCCCATTGGGGTGTGGGTGTGGGTGGAGGGCTATAGACCCTGTGGTCCCAAAGGCCTTCTATAATAAATCTATTGTTCCATGTTCTAGAAGCCATGTGCCCAGGGCTGGGGGGCGGGGCAGGGAGCAATAATGACCTGATATCCCTGGATATTTGGTCCAGTGGCTTGGCCTCTTGGGCATATGCCATCCTCAAGAGGTCATTGTACTCTAGAAGGAGTCCAGAAGATCAGGTCTCTAGATCCTCCCTTCCTTTCTTTTTCTGCTCAATTGCCTTGGAAAAGAAAACACAAATAAATAGATCTATGAATCAAAGAAAGACCAAATTTAGTCACACTTACCCAAGCCTCCTCCCCTTCACTGATTGGTTCACTCTGAACTTTACTGGGACTGCGCCAAATATTTGGTTTTACACTGTACACAAACCAATGTGCCTTTCTAGGATCCAGAGTCCAGACAACCAAGCCCATTTAAACCCAACCCAATCTCCAAATGATCTTAGGCAAACAGGAAGGAACTGTTCTAGGTTATTCTGAAAGTGCCCCATCACATCCATTAAACCCAAGGGAACCTAACTGGCATCATTGTCCTTGTATCCCAAGAAGTATTCAAGGATGTTTGGGTCTCTGTTATCTGTAAAATAAGGCAGTTGGATTAGATGACATCTAAGGTCCCTTTCAACTCTAGCACGATTGAATATTCAACAAATTAAACTCAATTGAGCAAACTTTTATTAATGACCTATCTGCAAGACACTGTGAATAGGCACTGGGGATAAAAAAAAGATAAAATATGCTGGCGTCTCTGTCCTCAAGGAGCTTTTATATCCTACTTGGAAGAAATATGGTGAATGCACAGAAAAGTATACATGATCTGGCAAAAGAGAAACCCAAAAAGCTGTAGGAAAATTTGAGGTGAGAGAAAAAACTTTCATCTGGGAGGAAGATGGAAGGCTTCATGAAGGAGTTGGCATCTAGATTGAGCCATTAAGGGAGACAGAGAGAGAGAGAGAGAGAGAGAGAGAGAGAGAGAGAGAGAGAGAGAGAGAGAGAGAGAGAGAGAGAGAGAGAGAGAGAGAGAGACATCCCCTGTCTCTTAGAGATTTTTCTTCTTAATGTCTTCAGAAATCCTTTTTCTTTTCCACCTTGTCACTGTAGTCATTCTGTTCTCGGTTTGAGTTTTGAAGGCTTGCCCTTTCATTTCTAATTCTTTTGCAGCAGATCTAATTGCCTGTCCTCCTTCACATAATATAATACCTTTGCTGTATAGAACCCTTTATGATAACCCAAAATATTTTCCTTTTTATTATCTCATTTGATCCTCATTATAGCCCAGTGAGGTAGGCAGGGGAGTCATTATTACTCCTATTTTACAGATCAGGAAACTGAGGCCCAGAAAAGTGAAGTGACTTGCCCAAAGACATACAGCTGATGACTGGCAGGGATGGGACAAGAGCTCAGGTCTCTTGGGACTCAGTTTAGTGCAATTTCCATCCATTCCACTATTCTCCTAATCCTCCCTCATACCTGACCTCACATCCTATTGAATTAGCCTTTCTCAGAGCATACCCAGTGTGGAGGTCCTTGAGCAGGAAATGGCCTGGTTGAAGGAGCACCTTTCCCAGCTGGATTCTCCCGTAGTATTTTGCCATAATGACCTGCTTTGCAAGAACATCATCTATAATGAAAAGAAAGGTGGGCATCTCTCAGTCCTGTTGTTTTTTTTTTTTTGGGGGGGGAGGATCATTGGAAGGAGGCAGAGGTGGTTTGGTAGCAAGGATATTAGGTAAGTTTGGCCTACCACAGAAATGACAGCGAGAGCTCTCAGCCTGGTGGTCTAGCCATTTTTAGGAAAGCATGCTGTCTCTGTCTCCTTCCATTCCAGGTCCTGACACATTGTCTTCCTCTCCATTTCCCTCTCCTCTCCCCTTTCCCCTCTTGTCCCTTTCCCCTACCTACTGTCATCCTTCTCCCCTATCCCTTTCTCTCCCATTCTTCTACTCCCCCTTCCTTTCTTACTCTCCACTTTTCCCTCCCCTTCCCTCTTAGTCCACAAAGGATATGGGTTGGAACATGACTAATGTGAAAATAGCTTTAATATGAATGTATATGTACAACTTATATCAAATTGCATGCTGTCTTTGGGTGGGGGTTGGGGAGGGATGGGGAGAAAATTTGAAACTCAAAATCTTATGGAAGTGAATGTTGAAAACTAAATATAAATAAACACATTTTTTAAAAAAATGGTTGGACTAGATGTCTCTTGAGGTCCCTTCTGATCCTGAAATGCTCTAATTTTGAGGTCATCTTATCCATTCCCCTGCCTCCTAACATAACACTTTCAGACCTCCCCTGTAAGGATGGAGATTAATTTTAATCTTAGTCATGCTGAGTGCTTTTTTTTTTAAAGTGGGGAATGCTAAGGGGATCATAGAATCGTAAATCTAGGGCTGGAAGGAACATCAGAGGTAATCAAATTTAACCCTTTCCTTTTATAGATGAGGAAACAAAGGCATAGGGAAGTCAGTAATTTGCCCAAGGTTACATAGGTAGTGAGCATCGGGGCAGGATTGGAACCCAGGTCTTCTGACTGGATATTTTCATGTGAAGGAAGGGACTTCTGGATTGAGAGAGAAAGGGAGAAATGGGCCTGGAGCACTTGCTAAAAGGGCCAGTGGAGGGGAAGGGGAGCTAGAGGACAGGGCAAGAGTTGAATCAGTGTGTAAAGACTATGGCCCCCACCACCCACCCCGGTTGGGGCCCAGGCTGGGTAGCAACACCCACTCAGGATTTTTTAAAGATCTCCCTGCCCCTTCCTGAGCCTTATTACTCCTGTATTGCCCCCTTTACAGGTCATGTCAGATTCATAGACTATGAATATGCCGGCTACAACTACCAAGCCTTTGACATTGGCAATCACTTCAATGAGTTTGCAGGTAAGTGAGCAGCCAACCAACAGAGAGTCTGTCAGAACCAGAACTAAGGGTGGGTAAGAAAGGCAGCCACCTAGGGTGTAGCACTAAATGGGGGGAGGGGGGTGCACAACTAGGAACTGCTTTCTCAGTATGACATTTTGTGCCATAAAGTGTATCTCTGCTGGCATCTGGGTCTTTATTTTGTGCTAAATCAAGGTACATTGTTACAATGAAAGTTAAAAGCTCCCTGTAAACAATCTCACAGGGAGGGATGGAGATATAAAAATGTCTTGGACCAGAGCTATTGCCCTGTCATTTATCCCATGTCCAGAGTAGTCCTATGCAAAGCCCTAGCCCCTCTCCCTCCCTGTTCTGAGGAGAGAGGCTCAATTCCTGTCCTCAAGGAGCTACCGGTACAATGGGGGACAGAGGACACTCACCCAAGGCACATATAGAGACAGTGAAACAATGAGCTGCAAGTTTTCAGTGTACCAGAGTGAATTGTATCTGGTTTTTGGTCCAGCTGGTTACGGAAGGCTTTCTGAAGGAGCAGACTGCTTGTTTCATGTTGGGGGGGGAGGGCAGTCTTTAAAGTGTGCCTCATCACTCACCATCTTGAGATGAGTCTACAGGCTACAGAGCTGTCTCCAAGAAAAAATTGAGTTCAGCCCCTGGGGACTTGGTCACTACAGTTGTCATTTGCCTGAATTTGAGCCCTCTGTACCATAAGAGATCTTCAGCCTCAGGGAGCTGGGGGCAGTGGAGGGCTGGTGCCAAAGGATGCCCTCAGGGTGCCTCCCCTAGGCCATGATAAGCCCTACCCATCTGGGGACTTGGAGACCCTGAGCTAAGTGTTTGTTTCACAAGTGAGATATCATCTTGATATGCCTCTAGGCTTGTCACTGAATGAGGACAGTCTATTACAGGTATTCATGGATCTGGCCAGATCTGCCCATTAGCCTTCCAGCTCCCTAGTGTTTGTAATGATGAGCCATGGAAATTGGCTTCATTGCTCTAACAGTCTCACTATGCTCAGTCAATCAACAAGCATTTATTAAGCCCTTACTGTGTTCCAGGTAATGAGCATTGGGGACACACAAAAAAAGCAAAGACAGTCTCTGCCTTTAAGCAATGTGTATTCTAATAGGAGAGACAACATGTAAATAACCAGATACATGCAAGATATATACCTAGCAAGTGAAAGGTAATGTGGGAGGGAACTTAGCCAATCTTATTTGTTTTTATTTGCTATTGATTTTTTTTAACATCCTTGTTTCTTATATTTTGAGTTGCAAATTTTCTCCTTCCCTCCAGCCCCTCCCACACCCATTGAGAAGGCAAGCACTGTGATAACCATCATACATCTTACCCTATCTTATGGATACACTTCCATCTCCTTCTTCTACTTCCCTGTGCCAAGAGAGATGCCTCTAGCTACCTCTCACCATGCTCTCATCCTTATCCACTTCAGCCCTACCCCTTCACTAGCTATAATTCCCTTTGAACCTTCACTCCTTCTTCTTAGATCTCTTTGTGTCTTTACATCTATTGGTGTCATGATCACTTGACGTTGCAAAAGGCCCTGTATCCCTGTCTAGTAGGAGGTGCGTGTTCCATCACATCTCTTTATACGGTGGGCCAAGACGAAGAGGCAGCAGCATACTCCTTGGTACCACTTTCCAGCTGTCCCTTGGCCACCATTACTTAGCAGCCTCTCTTCTTTTAAGGTTCATTCCATTTGTCTCTATCATCCTATATCCAGGGCCTCATTGTAGTCATCTCCCTGACCCATTCTCCCTCCAATCAATCAAGCAAGCAAGCGAGCTTTTATTAAGCACTCACTATTTCAGTGTTACACCCCAGAGGTGCAGAGTCTGTGCTCTGAAGAAACTTGCATTGCATCAAGAGAGACTGTATATATGTGAGTGTGCATGCATACACACACACACACACACACACACACACACACACAAACCACACACTCTACATTCTCAAGGAAATCAGTATTTGACTCAGTCTTCCTTTCCGCTGTAATCCTTACCCTTATATTTGGAGACTTCCTTATATACAATATATATTTTATATATATATATATATATATATATATATATATATATATTTTATATACACACACATACACACACACACACACACACATATATACACACACACACACATATATATATATAAAACTTCAAATGTCCTGATTTTCTGGTTCATCAATTTACTTAACTCCCTTGACCTACATCTTCCTTTCCCTTTATCTTCTCCCTGGGATGGTTGTATCTTGAATCTCACCATCACCCCAAACTATCCTACCTCCATGAAATTCCTTTTGCTGATTGTAATCTCCTATCCTATCTCTCCTTCTGTCTAATTTCACCGAAACCTACCCTTCACTCTCATTTTGAGCCCTAATCCCTCCACTCTCCCTCTTCCCCCATACCTCCATCCATCAATTCTGCTCTGGACTCACTTGGACCCCTTCGTAGTGTTGACCTGAGTTGACCAGTTCAATTCATTATCTTCTACTTTTGAATCCTTCTTACACCTCACTGCAAAACCATCAGCTATCATGCCTTGACAAATATACCATTTCTCCTCTCCTCTCTTGGCAGAGAACCTCACCATCTGCCATAAGCTCCAGCTTTCCCCCTGCCTGTCCTGTATATCATGCCCCATTCTCTCCTCCTTTGCCTCAGTCACTGAAGAAGAGATGTCCTTTCTCTTTTCCAAGACCAGCTCCTTTATTCTTCCTATAAGTGCCATCTTCTCTCTCTTGTTTCCTCCTGGAGCTTCTACCTCTTCAGTCATTTCCTTTCTTTCTGTCATCTTCCATCTCTCTTTATTGACTGCCTCCTTCCATGCCAGCCATATACATGCCCAGGTCTGGCACATCTCCCCGAAGAAATTCCCCATAATAATATACCTGACAATGGCTCCTCCAGCCTCTGTTTTAAGACTCTCACTGATGGAAGACCCACTGCCTCCTAAGTCAGCCCATTGTAATTTTTGGACAGCTCTGTTGGGAGTTTTTTCCTGATGTCAAACCCAAATTTGTCCCTTTGGAGCTTTTTCCCGTTGCTTCCGGTTTTGCCTTCCAGGGCCACACAGAACAACCCTAATCCCTCTTTCATGTAACAAACAGTCTTTCAAATACTCAAAAACTGTTATAAGCCCTGCCTTCTTACCACTCCCCAACCCCCAGTCTTCTCTTCTCCAGATGAAACATCCTTAGTTCTTTCAACCAATCTACAAATGATAAGGATTCAAGACCTTTCATCATCCTCGTTACCCTATTCAGGACACTCTTCATTTTATCAATGTCCAACTTAAACTGAAACACCCAGAGTTGAATATAATAAGGGGAAAAGAAGGGAACAAGAATTTATATGGTGCCTATACTGGGCTAAGCATTTTTTTAAGTAAATGTCTCATTTGATCTTCACAACAGCCCTGTGAAATAGGTAATATTATTTTCCTCACTTATAGTTGAGAAAACTAAGGCAAATAGAAGTTTAGTGACTTGCTTAGGTCCACACACAGCCATGAAGTATCTGAGGCTGGATTTGAATTCAGATCTTCCTGATTTCAGACCTAGAGCTCTACCCACCATGCCATCAGCTTCCTCATGTAATAAGCTGGGTTTGATCTAAGTAAGACATACAGAAGAATGATGATCACCTCTGAGTTCCTAAAAGTTATGCTTCTCCTGATATAAGCCAAGATCACACTAGTTGCCTTTTTTTTTACTTCCATATTACGCTGCTGACTCATTGAAGCTGAAGTCCACCAAATCCCCAGATCTTTGAAAAATAAACTGCCATGTCTTCTCTAGCCTTTACTTAGGAAGTTGATTTCTTGAACCCCAGTGTAAGTTATTTTTACATTTATTTCTATTGACTTCCATCTTGTAAGAGTCAGCCCAATGAACTATCCTGACGAGATCTTTTGAATTCTTACTCTGTCATCTAGTGTTAACTATCCTTCTGGCTTTTTGTCATTTGCAAAGGAGTATACTGGCTGTGTCATTTTCCAAGTTATTTTAAAATAGCACAGGGTCAAGCACAAATTCCTGGCTCGCTCTATTGCAGACCTCCTGCCAAGCTGACCTGTTCAGTTGTTTTCAGTTGTGTCCAACTCTTCATGACCCAGTTTGGGGTTTTCTTGGCAAAGATACTATAGTGGTTTGCCATTACCATCTCCTGCTCATTTTACAGATGAGGAAACTGAGGCAAACAGGGGCAAGTGACTTGCCCAGGATCACATAACTAGTTAGTGTCTGAGGTCGGATTTGAACTCAGGTCTTTCAGACTCCAGGCCCAGTACTCTATCCACTGTGCCACCTAGCTGCATTAATGATATCCCTTGAGTAGTCATTCAACCAGTTCAGCATCTGCCCACCTGTATTATCTCCTAACTCTTCATGTTTTCCATAAGAATAGTATGAGATTCTTTATCAGATGCTTTTCTAAAAATTAAGTAAACTCTAGCTTCAGCATTCGCTAATCTACCAGCTTAGTGGCCCTGTGAAAAAAAAGAAAATGAGATCAGTCAATCAACAAACATTTATTATGCACCTATGATGTGCTGAGCATTGCACCAAGTGCTAGCTGAGCCTTATATGACAGTTCGCTCCGAATCCATGCCAGTCCTTTGTAATCACGACTTCCTTTCTAGACGGTCCCTTACCGTCTCTTTAATGACCCATTCTACAAGGTCCCCGGGAATCAAAGCCCCGCTGGGTGGCCAGCAGTGGGCCTTTTCCTCCCTCCTATTCTCCACTGTTTTCCAGATATTACTGGTAGTGACTCAGCCATCACAGCCACCACTGTTTTCAGTACCTGAGGTTAGAGTTCACTTGGGCCAGGTGGCTAGAATTGCTCCCAGACGGCCAAGGCCTCTCTTGCTCTGTTTACTCATTTATCTCACTATCAACTCTCTGTTAACCATGTTTTTGTTTTTTCTGGCTTTTCTAGTCCAAAAGTCATTCTCCTTGACAGAGAAAACAGAAGCAGAAT